CTCTCTACTTTGAATTTTTATTTATTCAAACGGGCACCGAATACATATGCGCCACTCAATTCACTTGATTTATTTGAGGGCTGAGATATTGACTGGGTGCCCAAACAGAAGCAGGTTGAATTTTTTAGGGAGCCACACCCGGAGCTTTCGACCTTAAGGTCTGGTCCACAAGGCAATGGAGCAACGTATAGAGATGCAGTTACATGGTAGCCGGTGACCAACAATAGTTTCATACGCCATTTGTTCCCTTAAGATACTAGAGCCCATGTACGCCATTGGTTTGGAATCAAGGTTTTCCAACTCCCCTAGGTAGACTATCCATGTCCACCAACCCGGTTAAAGTGCCGGACATTCGCTTTTTGTCCTCTCAATTTTTATAAACCACAGTAATCCCACGAGAAGGCAGTGAGTAAGATTTCCCTGGCAGTGGCTGTATAAACGTGGCCATATGAGATCATTTAATTTAAACTTTATTTGAACGGTTACATTTTCAAATGAAGGTTTTTTTTTGTGTTCCACATCAATTTTTGTAAATTCAACTTAAATGATAAATATGATTTTTAAACAGAGTAGCCTTTTCATGAATGTCCAGTTATAATGTTGCTCATGAAGAATATTAAAAGACAATGCTTCTTCAAATTGTCAGCTTTTTCTCAACAAAACTTTATCCTAATTTTATGCAAAACAATAAAGTCAAACTGAATATCAAGCGATTTAGATACACTTTAATTAAATTGTCCAATAGGTAGATTATGCCTTATTCACCACCTTTTTAATGTTATTCTTTACTAGACTATTAAATTCATTCTATCTTACTATATGAAGTGACTACTTATTGTATCAAATGATTTATGTTACATAATAGATCGACGTACAGCTTTGGATAAACTGTACTATCAACCAATTGTTTGACCATCTAAGGCGAAATTATTGATGTTCTGAAGCTAGCAGATTATTTTAATTAAACCATCGATGAATAAATATGTCGGTGTAAAATTACGAAAAATCTTATGTAGCTTATTCACTGTAGCACCTTTTTTGGATTTGTAACCTGAGATTCATCAAGAATTTAAAGATAACATTCTCATAATCTGTGAAGCTAACCAAACTAGTAGTCATAAAGGATATTATCTATCAACTATATATAAAAATAATTGAATTGTATATTAAACGAAATAAGACAATTATGAAGTCTTCTGATAAATCTTGCGGATTGAACACTATATTCGTCTCTTAAGCTATTCTGTAATTCCTAAGCTAGAACTATACAGCGACCTGAACACGAGAGAGAAGACGCAAAGTATGCGAGAAGTAGTTTACTCCAAGGTTCATTCTAATACAGAAAATACATGGTTTTTATAATATTTTAAATGTCGTTGGGTTGTTAGAAGTTTCTGGAACGCTACTAAACATAATAGCAGTGTGTAGCAGCCAACCAATCAGAGCCTCTGCGTGTGACTTAGCTTTAATAACTTTCAAGGTATGGAATATTAAAATTATAATCCTATTATTGAATTTATAAATTGTTTTTTTCATTTACTACTTTGCAAATAGGTTGATTGCCCTCGAAATTTGGCGAAATCTGTAACAGTTGAATAATTGATTATTCGAATACATATCAAATCATCTCATTGAACTTTGATGATTTATTAACTAGGTCTATCATTATTCTTTTATTACAAACTCAAACTTTGTCTTCACATGGACACATTCTCATTTTATGCTCTTAATATAATTATATTTCAATGTTTTATAAATTGTCTTTCTACTTTCCTGTAACTACGAATTTTATTTCTATTTTGTATCAGTTACACTAATTGATGAATATTTATGAAATGTTGAACACCATAACTTAGTTGCTTATTTATTGGTTAAGGTATTGATTCTAGTAAACACACAAAAAAGGGCTTTCGTATTTTAAAACTTTGTTATATTCAAGTTCTTTATTTTCATTATATTTTCTTGTTGTTGTCAAGGCTTTTTTTGTTTGTTATCACTTAGGTAAATCGATTTTTGTTTTTAAATTATAAAAAGCAAGCGTTCTGATCGGTTTCTTCATGAATTTTTATTATTATATTATTAATACTGATGTATGTTCGTGATTTCTTCACACACACACACACATCGTCTATACTCAATTGTGTCTTAATTAATTTAAGTCCTTCAAATAAATTGCAGTGTCAATCAATTCAAGTCCCAGACCTATTTTCATCATTAAAGTTTACAAGTTATACTGAACTACACATAAGTTTGCTTCCTAGTCTCGTGCTTTAGGGTTTGGGATTTAAGGTGATTTATGCACACAACCTACAAATTATTAAATATACTTGCCGTTGACATTATCTATATTTTGGGGTCGAAACTAGAAATAGGCAATCACGATGTCCATGTCTGAAACAGCAATTAAGTCTGCAAGCGAGTTTTATGATTTAAACTATCTGTCAAAGATAAGCAATAACCTGCGTACCTAATCTTCAGTTGGTTTTACCCTATATTATCAACTGATTCTACTGAGATATGGTTTCATCAACTACTTATTTCTATTTTTTGAAAACATTTTAGTTTATAGTCTGTTTATGCTTGTTATCACCAATGAAATGAAGTATCTTATTTGCGTTAGATGTATTGCTATCTAATTCAGGCAATATATTCATTTGACAATTGTAAGTCTGCCGATTTTGATAAATCCCGAAACCCTTATTTATTGGAACATGATTAGTAATCGATTTATTATCGGTCTTTATTTCATTCATACTTTATCTTACAGTAAATATTGTAGTTCAGCATTCTGTTACGTCTTGTCGTAAAACATATATTTCAATCTTTTGTCTTTCTCGCTTTCATAAATATTTAAATTTGTACTGACTTTAATTACCCTGTTTTTGATGTTCTTTACTGCGTCTTGATGGGTCTCCATTGGTATATGTGCGGATCACCCCAGTGTAATCATCTGTTACACACGCTTATAGAATAGGTTGAGTATATAGCTAGCAGTGGAATCCAGGGCTAACGTTTCGTTCTATTTGAGACTCAGTTGGCAACTAAATTACATAACGGGTATGAACGAACATACACCAAGACTGATCAAAGCTCCCTCAAGATGAACCAAGTGATAATTCAAGACATCACAAATTGAAGTTTAAGCTAGTGGCTGGCGTTAGGATTTTGAATAGGGAGATACTGGGTTCTAGTCCGGCGTGGACTTCATCATCACCTGGTGAAACCATAACGGTTTGTCTTTCATTCGACTACTAGCCACTTTTCAACTATCTGATACCATAAAGGATATCATTATTTCAACTTGTCTTCGTATTTGCATTCTGTTGTGCTGATTTGGCTTATCATATGCCTTGTACTTCCTGTTATATCCGAGCGAAGATTAAATTACGGGTAACTTTCGAGGAATACTAATGGACTAATTTTCTATAATGATAATTATTCAATAATTGACTACTGCCTCCCACGTTCACAGCCACATTTGGCCAAATATTGTACAAATGTTATTTTCTATTTTATGGTACGTTGTGATCTGTCTGGTTGATATATAAACCGAGTATGTCTGAAATAAAGTATTCGATTCATATTGCGCAAGCTGGTATTGAATTCTGGACTCAAGCGGACGGGCTAGGAGGACCATAAGGATGCTAGGCTGCTCATACCGGTTGAACGTCATTGGTTTGTCATAGTGCTAAGATTATATGTCGTATTTTGATTGGTGGCTAAATCACGTGATAAGCCGGACATAAAATCATAACACTTTTGATGCTTGATTTTTTGATTGTCAACCTTAGGACATATCTGCATAAATCATTTCCATGTAAGCTGTCTTTTCCATTTGTTGCTGTGTATGCGGTAGCAGGGCAAAGTCGTCCAAACACATCCGTAGTGTTCACTATATTCCTAGCCTTTCTTGGGACGTGGATGTCTTAATAATCCAGTCAACTTCTGACAGAAAAGAATGGTCGACAGTAAGCAGCCGTTTGATACAAGTCTTCACATAGTATGTTAACTTCTACATGGAGTAAACGTTTATGGATCACAATAAGAGCTTCACCTATGTCATCTTGAAGAAAAAAGCCACTCAGCATTGTAATTAGGAACCTTAACTGTATGACGGTTAAATCAAAACGTAAGAGAAAAAGCAACGGTGACCACGTTACTTGCAATAAAACGCTACTTCAGTACAGAAAATAAAAATCAGCTACTTTAATAGTACGAGACCGATGGAGGTAATCAATCGTTACCAATCGAAGACAGATACGCACGTCTGCAATTAGGAATACAAATTATTTCTATGTTGTATTGTCTGGATTTGACAGCGTGTGAACTATTTGTATTTGTGTTGGTAAACCTATCTTCTGGCCTTTTATTTGGTTTTTTAGTTATTCACTATAGTGGTCTAATTATCTAGTGTGCTTAGTCGCATTATCTATTATTATGTTAACGAATAATGAAACACACTTCTTTAACATTACTTAAAAAAACAGTGATGAGAAAAATTTAGATGGAATGGGTGAATTTTATGGAACAATGTGACGTTTAGTGTTTGGAGAAAGACACCACAATGTATATGCTGAAATAGATCACTTCTATTTCAATGTAATTCGTCTACAAGAGATAGATTTTTGTAGTTGGTTTTGAAGCACACTGGTGCTCATCTATTGATTCATGTGTTATTTCACATTAATACCAATTGGGAATCAGCAATGAGTCGGATAATGATACAGAAGACTCATTTTCGCTTGCCAACCAATCAGGTGATAGAAAAGTTCTCGTCCATTTAGCTAAAGCCGTTAATCGCTATTCGAGCTCACGCATTTCTAGCTTCAAGTTTAAACCAGATGGTATATGTCAAGGCCTTAATCCAGATCGAGACAATTTCCCTCCTGTATATTATTGGGTAGACAGATCAAGGACGTAACAGAGATTGAAGCTAGTAACAAGCGATACAGTAACTAAGATTAACAAGAGTCATTAAGGTTGCAAACTGTAATTCTGGAGGTTGATAGTCAGTTGAAGTTAGATTAGAAATGATTGATATTGATCATTATCCAGAGAAAGTAATTCCCTTTCGTTATATTATGTAATCGCTATGACTGAAGAAAGTATCTCAACGATGTTTAGTTAATGATAGTTAAATATAAAAAAGAATCGATATAGAACAGCATTATAAATACAAAAAAATTCGGTTATTCAGAAAAATATATGTTACACATGCATAAGCACCAATTGTTTATTTTATCACTTTCACTTCCTCATCCTCGTCGTTATGTAAATCACTGTCACCATCTTGAGGAGATGACGTAACTGATTCTTCTTCACTCAAACTACTGATGCTACTGACCTCATCTTTATTATCACTTTGAAAACTATTGACATCCTCAGGATCTGATTTTGATTCAAAGTATTTAATTGATAAATCAAACAGTTGAATAGGATCTTTGTTCATATGATCAATCTTATCAGCAGTTATCAAAGGATTACAATCATCTTGTCTGATAATCTGATTCTTATCCGGAGGAAAGTGGTCAGTTGTATGGTTAATATATTTCAAGAAACTAGCAGTACCAGGACCAGCATAGACTAAAGTCAAAGAATTATCTGACGGTGTAACAGTTAGAAGCTAAAGAAAAAAAGTTAAAATCAAATTTAGGATTATTGTTATTGTAAAAACAACAGATTAAGAAAGTGTGAAGTTGGAAAACAATCTAGGGTTAATATGAACCGATGGTTATTACTCTACAAAGTCTATATATGCATTTGACCTATATACGTAAAAGATGAAATCATCACATGAATAAAACTAAGATTTACAGCGACAGCTTCACTCATTAACTCAATATACCAAGAATTTTGAGAATTTTATACTCTCAACTGTAAAAAAAAAATAGATTCAAGTTTTCTCTTTATTTACAATGGTGTCAAAGTAAATTTTAAATCTCCAGGTTCAATAATTTCGGCTCATGAATGATCTTCTCTTTTCAGTAATCAATACAAATGTTAACAAAAATAGTGAATATTTCTGTATGTAAACATGAAGTTTTACTAAAGTTAAATTATGAATTAACTACTATACGACATTATTGGTAACTTATATTAAAAGTACACTTAAGAATGAAATCGTTTCCGTTAATGAACTGCAATCCAAATGTTGTGTAAGATTAGAGATTTTATCATTCTCGAAATACAAATGGTGGCTCTTATGTAACAACTGTCCTCGTCAAATCTACATTCTCATGAAGAATACATTAAACTGCCCGGCTATTGTGATGTATTTGTGTATAGGAATAACTAGGGCTTTAAGTTATTCACTTGGTGTTTTTTTACTTGTATCAACAACACCAAATAATAACAGTCGTCCCAGAGTTCACTTGATACGCTACAATAGAATGTCTTGCTGGATGTAAAAAACTATATAAGCGATGAGATCTGAAGCTTTTTTGTTTTTTCTTGGTTAGAATTGTGAGTGAGCACTGGTGAGGAGTCACAAACCAAGATGAAACAATTATTCAGTGTTTTCTAGTTTCTATTGATGCTTAACAAGATACTCAACAGCCATTGGCCGGATATTATCAGCAACAGTCTATTATGGGAGAGAACAAACCGGCTGAAGAGAAAATTAGGAAAAGACGTTTGACATGGATAGGAAGTATATCACGGAAATCACCAAACTGCACCATGAGTCAAGCCTAGACTTGGAATCCTGAAGTGAAGCGGAAAACAGGTCAAAGAACAAATTACATTGGGAAATAGAAGCAAATATGAAAAGGATGAATAAGAACTGGAAAGGATCACCCAGGACAGTGTTGGATAGAGAGTGCTCGTGGTCGGCCTATGCTCCTCCACGAGGAGTAACAGGAGTAAGTAAGTAAGTATCGATGCTTAATCCTTGACGAATACCACCAAAATATTTATCATAGTAGTTAGGAAACTAATTATTTGCACTAATAATCACTTATCATAATATTAGTTGTGTATTCTATTCAGTGAACATGTTAAAGACTGGTGAATACTAAGTAAACGATGTCAGATATACCATGCCTCTTACTAAAGAGCGTTTTGTGTAATAATTAGTCATGATAATAGTGACATCATAATGGGTAAGATCAGAAAGTAAACTGGTTACCACAAACCCTCTGCAATAATCACCGTATAATTTATTTAGTAATTCATTTCTGGCTCCGAATCATTATCATGTATGAAAAATCGTAATAAGCTCAGAAGAATCTGATAATTCTTTAGGATATATCATTTACTTACATACAATACAGCTTATGAGTTAACTAGATTATAATTGATAAATGATAATTAAGAAAAAAATCGCCAATTTTTTTTAGAAGATCCCCGGTAAAAAATGTAGCATAGAACAAACGAACACAGGTAGTTCGTTAAACCGAACATTTGCATTGGCGTAACATTTAATTTTCAGGCATTAGGGGTTACACATTTGAATTTCATCACATTTATTATGGTTTGAATATATAACCGTTTCTACCTATTGCTAGAGCTCATATACAATAATGCATCGCCAGAAGACAAACCTGCACTTGATTAGGGCGAAGATTAGTAACATTTGAATTTGGCTTTATTATCCTTGAAGAGTTTCATTACTATGTTGTTGATGGAGTACACCTTGTTCATTTTGGAGTTAGAATCGACATTTTCTTATCTGATCTAAGACATTAAAATATCACTCAACAGAATTATAATAAAGACTTGATACATATTTTGAAAAATAAAGAAGCTTATACAAGGTTGTGGTTTATGATTCTAAGCGCTCAATTTTCGAACCATTGAGTTTTAAGTCTTCATACAATAGGTATGGCTTGTATTTCAATACACAAACTTATTTATGTTCAGTAAGTTACATTCATGGATTATTTGTGCGAGTTTTTTTTACGCATGATACTCAAACTGACATACCTCATCTTCTTCACCATCAGCAACATAAACTGTCTGTACACCCCATGATGAATTTGACTGAGAATTTGTATCATGAAGTTGGGTTTTATTATTATTATTACTATGGTATTTTAAACCATACCCATGGATGTGTAGTAGACATTCCAGTCTCCAACTTTGATCAGTCATATCAGCATCTGAGAGCAGAGTATAGCTGCCTGGTTGAAGTTTACGTAGGCAAGGCTCAGTTAAATATGGTAGACAGTTTAGATCAGTATCGCTTGTGGAGATGGCATCAACTGTATCTTCAGTTCTCATGCGCTTAGACTGAGATACATCTTGATCAGTCTAAAAAAGAGCATCCAACACAAAGATGTATAAATTTGAACATATATGACAGTGAGTAAGAGATTGATACACAAAAGCCCGTAACTAAATACACCCTATCATACGACCAAACTTATTAGGTCGATTTTCACTCATAATAAATTATTCTGTACATTTCACCATAAATGTATATCGATTGACGAGCTAATGAAGAGTAAAAATACTGGACACCAATCGTACTAGTTCGTAAACCTTTACAACAATAGCACCAAACAGCTGTTTAAACTAATCAAAGAAAAACTCGTCTATGCGGATCCGCCATATCCACCAACCCGGTTAGAGTATGAGGCTTTACTTCTATAATAATCGAGCTAATCATCAAAATATATCAGAAGCAGTCATTAAAAAAACGCAACTCACAATATTATTATCATTGACGACAGTAGTATTGTCAATACCATTGATTATACTACATGGATGTAATTGAATACCAGTGATATCACTTAATATGACCAACATAGCTTCTGATTTAAATAAACGAATAATTTGTTCACATAAATCAGGTATAGTGTTTAAATCTGTGTTGAATAAGCAATGATAATTCCTATGTAAAATACAGAAAAAAAAGAAAGTTATTTATATAATACAACAACAGTAGATTATTAACAGCATTTAAGTTGTCCCAAGGACCCCCCTCTCGCACACTTGAATGAATCTCTGTGTTTTAAATTTATTTGATCGGGATAATAATGAATGTTAACTGTACGTATTTACAACCCCCCCATCATACCATAAAAGGCTTATTGAGAAACTCAAACTGCAACACAGGAATTATAGTCAGTCAGTCAGCTACAACGTATGACCAGGCACATATGCACATCGGTCCAAGTTGTCATACCTCATTAGCACAACAAGATGTACACCGGATTCATAGAAGTAGTTAATTCAGTGGTGGCAATATATAAAAGAAAGATTGCATATAAGGATATAGTACATGAAGAAAGAATTAGTTCATAGAAAGAAAGATATGAAGTGATTTTAATCGCTTAGTTTAAGGGAAGACAGAGAGTGTATACACCGACGCCATTGTGATCGATTCTGAACCATGTCACGAAGAATCTCCAACCATTGGTTTCGGTAGTCACGCGGACGACAACCAAGTAGTCTGCATCTACCAGCATGGCTCAGACTAGAAGTTAGTGACTACAAGCACTGATGCCACGTTTTAGTTTGGCCATCCCTAACTTTCTTCCAACCATTCCCAACACCAGTTAGCATTGCGCGTTATGGTAATCGGTGTTCAGGCATACGTAACACGTGGCCCAACCATCTCAGTCGATGGAGATTAACAACCTCATCAACTGATTTACCATCTTTACCTAATACTCTGCGTCTAACCTCAGGGATGGAATAAAAAACGCGCGTATATATTTCAATTCAGTGTGATGCTTTTTTTTAGTATAAATTAGCCATTTTCATTGTATTAATTCTATGTCAAATTGATGATGGTGATATCCATTGATCAATTATTGAATTCAAGTAAAATCTATCAATAAATATGTGTTTATTTGTAGTGTTGGTTATTATTTATTTGGCAACTGAATAAGACAAAAAAAGCATCCTGTCAGCAGTTTCTACCTCCATTTTACCTTGGACAGATCTCAATTGAAATTGATCACTGTTTCAAATCTACTTTCACACTTTTATATCGCTCACTTATTTATCATAATTCATTAATTAATGGAGTAAATAATAACAAGAAATAAAATGATGTAAAACTTTCGTAAATGAAGATCGGTGACAAATGCTGAATACTGCAAGACATACATAAAATACATTTAAATTTCAACGAATGTCAAACAAAAGTTAATTGCAATACTGGATAATTTATGCTGAGAATTTCTTACAGTAACAAAAATGATACTGAGGAATAAAGAAGTTCTTATGATTACTGTTATTGTCAAAACACAGATACCTGAGTAAATTTTTCTTGTATTAATTCAAGTGCAATCATAAAGAAATCAATCACATTTACTTTAATTGATATGAAGGTTTAGTGGTTGAAGATAGTCAAAAGGAAACTTTTGACCTGGGTTTTGTGTTACTTGACACTCGTCAGCAACGTATACCTGTAACCTTGAGGGAACTGATGCACGCCTATCGATTCGATCCTGTATCATCCAGGGTTTCCTGTTGACTACCTCCAACCACCATCTTATCTAAATATAGTTTACTCAATGCCGAGTCACCTAGACTGGTAGTCACATTGCAACTTGGTCAATAGGATTTGATCTACACTGAGAAGGACCTGACATACATAACGTTTGAACACTACCCAGTGACCAATCAATTGTAAGAAGTGTACTTTATAAGATTATTAAGTAAATATAAGTGATTGAACGAATGGAACTTTTAAAAATCCCAAATGTGAATAAACAGTCTTTAACTGTAGATGATCATAAGTAATTGACATATTTACATGACTTTACACAATGCCATGTATTAATAGTTCAGACCATGAGTCAATTGAAACTAGACAACTATGGAAAACCTGGAAGCACTGAACGGCCGTTTTGTTCTATTGTGGGACTGCTCAGCAGTGTGCAACCACGACCCGGGATTTGAACCCAGGAGCTATCAGTTATATATATATATATATATATATATATTAATTGAGCTGCAGAATTATCAGACTGAACATTTGACCTAGAAAACATTGACGTTAAAAACATTCAACCCAACTCCCAATAATCTTGATTATTCAAACTAAAGGTTAAAGAGAAATTAAGTACACAAAACTGTATTTCATTACTAAATTCCCTATAGAAAAAACAATTTTTTTTAAAATATTACACATAGACGAATGGTGTCGAACTTGAATCAATAATGTGTTTGTTTTGTAAGAAAAAAAAAGAATCGAAAATCAAGCATTAATGAAACATCTAATATTGTGGTATGGGTTACTTAAACCCAAATAAGTAGTATATAACAGTGGTCAGACATCGAATGTATTTCAGTAGATGATCGATAAGGAAAGAACGGGAACGGAACGCAATTGATATGAAAATGCATGAACAATAAAGTCTGAGACAATGGACTGATATTTGCAAAAAGATTCAGTCAAGTTTGAGACGATGGATTGATATTTTGCAAATTAACTAGTTCCTATATGGTTCTTAGATTTTAATGAGATGCTCTGTAATTACATATCATATACATTCGATTGTCCTCACTCGTTTTCTTGTTCACTACAATATGACCAAGTTAAACAGTAGTAACATTTAAACTAAAATTACTACTAGTAACTATTTTACATTTTGATTCAACATAATCAAACATTAAATCGATATTTGTTCTAGATAATTGTTAGAATGTCATCATCATCATCATCATCATGTATACCATATGATAATAGAGATGTGATTTATTTCTTCTTCTTTTTTTCATAATATTAATCAAGAGATTATATAACTAAATGACAAATAACCTTTTATATTAAAATAAATATCTATTTTAATGCATATAACTACTTATCATTGTAAGTTAGATGAATAAAATGAATATAATAAATAATTGGATTAAAATGATCCAAGAATATTCAAGATGGATTCCATGAAATTAGAAATGAGGATTATAGGATTATGATTTATAGATCAATTGACAGGTAACTACGATCCAAATTAAAGGAACTGGATGATATCCTAGAATGGTGTGAGTCGTATGAATTGCTCAAAGAACGCCAGTGGGGACAGTCGAATGTATTGACAGAAACTTACAGGACTTATTAATAAAATCTAACAATCATATAACAAATGTCTAATTTGCAAAATGTCCATCAATGGTCTTAAAATGACTCAAACTTCATTTTTCTTGCATTCTGTTTCCATTCTGAAATGTTCGATCCTCTCGTCTCTCTGCTGCCAGACATTCTACTCCTGATTAATGTTATATACACACTACATAAAAACTAGACTAAAATAGCTATTTAGTATTCTCTAGCTTATAATGATGTCACTTTATTGATGAAAATGACCTAAACATTGATTTGATCACATCTAAAAGTAATACTATGTTATGATTATAGAAAATAATATAAATAGTTAGAAATGATTATAATTAGCACTCTTGGTAAAGAGTTCAATTATACAGTATTATGATATAGATTTCATTTAGAAAGTTTCAGCTTACAAAATACAGATGAAACTAATAATTAGTTTAATAATCACCTTCTGTTGGGAGGGCCACAATGTAACCAATTATGTGTAGATATGCCTTTTAAACATTGAACAAGTTCTATCCACTTATCCGTCTAAATTAAATAAATGAAAAAAAATACATTAAATATTCTATAATGCATACCGCTAGTAAGATATGCAGCTAATTAGTCGGAGAAATAAATCAACAGTGAAATGTATTTAAAATAACCACAGTAAGAAGAAAAGTCAAAGATCCGAATAAATGATGGATCTTTGTAGACACTTTGAGCAACATTGAAGAAAGGATAAACAGCGAAACAGCAGTCAACAATAACAACCAAACAAAGCGGATAGAGTCAAGATACAAGACCTATATACAGAAGCGAATAAATGAATGAATAAGAGGACTAGAAAGCCTAAAAACTACAAAAGAACAAGTCTCAAGAGAATGAAATACGAGAACTATATAGTACAACCAAAAGGCTTGTGGGGAAATATAGTATAGTAAAGTGACCAGTCACGAATAAATAACGAGAGTCAACCATCGACTTTCGAGAGTAGTGGAATAGCTAGGCCGAGCACTTGAATAAACCAGCCACACTTAAACCTCCGGGTATCAAAGCAGCAGACACAGACCACTTTATACACGATTCAAGTATTATATTGGTGGAGCTCGTTGAGGTGATTTAATAACCATTATTGTAAATATTACTCCCTTTTAAATGATTTCAAAATATTTTACAAACTGATTTCTCCTAACCTACTATGAATAATACAACTGAGTATATTAGCAAAACTAATATAGAGTAGTTATACTCGACAGTTTCTCTAATATTCATACTCACAAATCAAGTCATATCTTGTTCCATCTTACAAAGAGCACGTTTCATATATCTTAGTAGAACTTACTTTTATAAAGTTAGTTAACTGAATCTCTGATGACCGACAAAATTTTCGTCGAATCTTGCGTAGTTGTTCCGTATCAAAATAGACTGGATTAATCCATTGATAAACTAGTTCTTCCTGAAATCAGCAAAACAATGAGATATTAATTAATGGAACTTGAAGTTGAACCCAACAATCAATGAAAATAATTTAACTGCACCACCATTTCTAATCCCTTGCATGTCTTAAACCAACTTAACATGAGAGGTTAATTTTTCAACTTCGAAGTGCCTTCTTAGAAAAAAAATATCCAACACAGCTTACATTGAACCATCATAGTAAATATTTAAATGAGAAGTTAAGCACAAAATTGTTTTGTGATTTATTTCTGATACGAACCGGAAATGAAGAACAATTGTACAATGAAGTGTTATCGTAAAGGTCATGTGATTAAAACCTATATTTGACTAAGCAGTAACTTGATTTGTTTTTCACTTGTTTGAAAGTTAAAATTGTCGGACGAAAGTTGTCGATTAGGCGAAAAGCTGACAGTAGATGTGTGTATGTGTGGGAGTAGGATGACTACAATGCTATGCTCTATATGTAGGATATAAAAACGATAGGAATAATAGAAAGTGAAGACGGAAGTTGATTATGAATACAGTGGTCTTGAGTGCTGTTAGAAGTATGAGGGCGGTTATCACTTCCCGGATGTCCACACCGTTGTCCATCTTGTTGTGTTAATGAGGTATGGCAACTTGGACCGATGCATATATGTGCTTGGTTCTACGTTGTAGCTGACTGACTGACAAACGATAGGAAACTTATTTAAGCAATTGTAGCCTTTTGGGGATAATAATCCAAGCAAAACTTTAGGGCAGAGTAAGTGAAGATTTGTATTTTCCCGTTCTTGATATTAGAGGGTTGCATTTGATTACTCTTTGTTGATATATAAGCATATTCAATAGATAAATTGATCAAACGTTCTGATTAAAAGTCTTGGTATACTAGGATTGTAGACGGTAGTGTAATCTAGGGTAGGTGCTTTGTCCTATTCTTTAAGACTACTGTTTGCTTGATCTTGAAATATAAGTATTTGATGTTCCATATCAGCTACTATACAAAATACAATTAGGATTCAAAATAATAATCAGTTATTCTTCTTTTGATTTCTATTGCCCAGGAGTAGTGAACGACTTACACAAATGTCAGCTACAAAGCACCAGTTTGAATTCAACAATCCATCAAACAAACAATCAGCTTCTAAACAGAGGCGGACTTTCTGTGAAGTGGTCTCTCATTTATGCTAAAGGTTAAGCCGTGATATGTCAATCAAAAGCGATAGTTTAGCACGCGTATAATCAGTTTCTATAACCATCACATTTGGACAGTACCATTATCGATCTATAGTTTATATTCTATCTTGGCATGTTAGTACGATGCACCATTGTTAGGTAAAGAGAAATAGCCTAAATGTATTGGCAATATGTTAAGGTTGATCTAAATTAAATACTATTGTGACATGTTGGGGTTGCCAAAACAACACTTGTTATGATCTTCCACGTCTCAGTAATTTTTCGACCTATGCAATGTGGAAATGTCACACAAATCACAACTACTTCTAGTGGTTACTATATTTAGTAAAAGAGCTATGAGTAATGTGATGTCTACTTATATAATTTTCTCAGATTAAAAAATCAAATCTTTCTTGAAAATATTATTTCTTATTTTTTTACTAGCGTGCCGTTGCGTATAAGTCCCCCCGTCTATATAATTGCGTTAGATCCACCTTCGTGGAAGTCGAATACTGATAAGGGTCTCGGTGACTCATCTAATAAAGTGCAGGAATCTTTAGCTGACACGCAACAAGTTGTGCGCCAAATACGATTAGAGAAAATATCTTTTCAATAACTTACCTCTATGTGTATAGGAGAAATTTTCTCAACGGATGGCATTATATTATTATCTACAGTCCATAGACTTGGTCCATGAAACCATCCATGTAATGATAAACGCTTAGAATGACCAAATACTTCTGCAACCTAAATGACGGGAAATAAAATGATGAACACTAAATTATCATAACTAATATTACAACTCAATTAAAAGGTGTTCTCAGAGGAATTTGTAACAAATTTCAAAATATAACGTTCGTTTTTACTTCGATAAACAACAAAATACAGATTTACAATGTTTTTATAAAATTTCCTACCGTTGTGATCAGGAATTCATAAAGAAATTATAAAAATAATGAAGGGATTTGGTCGTAGACGACCTGATTTCAAGTGTTACTAAAGATTCAAGGATGGTTATTACTTCACAGTTGCCCACATATTGTAGAAGGATGTTTCTCCTTGAAATAGCTGAAAATGAAACTGAATGAGTAGTGGTCTCGCCGGTCTGAAATCGTGACCAAAATCCAAGGAACAACTGCTTGAAGCTGGTCATACACGGCCTTTTCGTGAGTAGCTCTTGATGAGTTGAGTCAACTCCATATCTGAAAACCCTGACTACTGGGAACGGAAATCTTTAGCCAACAACGAGATGCGTTACTTTTAGAGGGGATTATCTGATGGCAACATATTGACTTCGAAACTAAGATTGTTGCTTTTATTATTACCGTTTTCCGATCGACATGAAGCAATATGTTTTAACCAATGAAAAGCCCTATTAGATCATCACAATAAGCAAACCTGATCACTACCTCAAGGTATCCGCTACTTCCGAATGCATACTTTTGAAGATGTAAAATCCGAAAATACAACTTATGGTGAAAATATCAATCCTGATTTAATGTCAACTTTCAACATATTTTCGTTGCTTCATACGCTTTCAGTTTATGTTGACTAAGGTTTGTGTTCAGTGATAGGTGCTCAGTTAAAAAAATATGATCAGTGGAAACGATATAAAACTAGTTAAGTTTAACGTGGTTTTATTCTTCCTCAGTTCTTAACCAGCAAGGCTTCTATACAAAACTGGAAGGGAAGAAAAGGATGGAAGTAATCTCGTTCATCATATTAAATTCGGAGTTGTTAAACAAGAAAGTGCTAAAAAGTGTTTTTTAAATCCCCCATTCTCCCATACCTCATTGATTTTCCGTTTTCGGCCGTAGGGTTTAAAAAGTATAGAACTGACGCAACATAAACCACTCACAAAGTCAAAAACGATTTTAAGCACAAAATGAAGTATTGTCTGACTTGACCACAGACATTCCCTCAACGATAGGCACAGAAATACCATATCGCTGTCAGACATAATTGTGAGGTGTTATATTCAATGTTTTTCAGGGGTAACCACTTTCCTGATTCTCCTAAATTCTGTCTCGGCTGTGCTTTTAGGGATAATCTCGTCTGTTTTATAGGGAATGATCTAAATAAAAGATTCGTTTGTTATCTTAGAATGTGAAGACGAATTTTGTCTGGTTAAGACACTAACAAAATACAGGCTTCTAAATGCCCTGAGTATATATTTCTTTTTCTTTAGGTTGAAATCTTTGCTTCAGGATTGATCTGAATTAATGCCTAGTTTAAAATAGGAATTCCATTAAGCATGGTGTAAACGGTCATCAACTAATGTGGTTTGGACATGCATAATACATGTCTGAAGACCCTTTGACTGGATGTGAAATGCTAACTGACATGCTAGTAGCTAGGGTTTTCTATCGACTTCCTCCAACCAACAAATTAAATCTCATGCGATGTCGAGTCACTTGAATAAGTGGCCATAGTGCAACTCGGTCAAGAGAATTCGATCAGCGCTAATAAGGATTTGATATACATGGAATTGGCCAGTGATCAATCAATTGTAAATAAAAGCGAGTGAAAAAACCCTAACATGAATAGGATTGAGTTGTAAAAGAGAGATTTAACAATACATTTAAATAATGAGTTAACAACAATAAGGGCGACCATCAGAAAGGATCACCTTACTAAAAGTAAGTTTTGAAATAAGAAAAATTTTTTAAAGATTGTGAATAGTGTTCAACTGACTGACTGTTTATCCCTACATCTCAGCAACCAATTAAGAACGTAGTTTTTCAAACGTCTGATGAAGAGTCTACTCTCAACCAATACGGTAATTTTTTCGGATTTAGTTACAGTTCATTATTCTTGTAACCCCAGCCATGTTACATTGTACGTCTATTTTGAACAGCTACAGGATAATCCGTTTAATGGGATGTTTGGTGAATTTCACGTTTAATGAGTTTTAAATGTTAAAAACATGCCTTGATTTCAAAATTAAGGTCATTGTGAATGCCATTTATTCCCGAAATTATTGACGTCCGTAATAATAAAAGTCAAATGACTAGATTTTATTTAATATGAGTCAAATGGACAGGTGGAACTTATTAGGCACATTTGATGCTATTACTATTAAGTAACACATGATTATCAAGTATTTATATAAGAGTATCTTTCATTCCAGTTACAACAACAATGTTTGACGCTTGATAAGCGAAAACATTTAAACAGTATCTAAATTAGTTAGCTTAAATTAAAAATCCTACTAATTACATTACTACAATATCTTATAGATAAGTTCGCAGCAGATTCTTTAGTGGCTCATCGTTTTCAAACCTGAGCTATGCGAGCAAAAGCTTCACATGTAAGCTCTCAAGATAACATAACTCTAATTCTTTATTTTCCATACACTTAATTAGTTATCAATACTTTGAGATGCACGTACATCCACATGACGAGTCTGAAATAGGAAGAAACGCGCAACCTGAATTCCGCTTCCAACCAACACCTTTCTCTGATTAAAATGCTTATGACTTTATGGCACTATCGAAACCATTTCCACAGGATAAACGTATCCTAAAAGAGACTGGTTAATTTCAGACCTAAACATTAATGGGAAGATCCAAACAACCAATATATATGGATCTTCATTAAAAGTTTAAAAAACTATGTTCTTAATTGGTTGCTGAGATGGAAGGACAGACAGTCAGTAAATTGAACACAATATTTGGATTTTTTTCCTATCTCAAACCTTACTTTTATTAATATGAACCTTTCCGATAGTCGCCTTTATTGATGTGAACTCTTTTTCACTCATTATTTTGATAATCGCCCACGAACTCACACCCTTATGAACAGATAACAAAATTATATCAGTGATATATTAGGTGACTATATGTCATAAATCAAGAGCGACCGTCAAAAGGATGATTCATTAACGTTATACAGATGCGAATGTTACTTTTATGTCCAAATTTTCATAACAAGGTTTTAATATGTCTAAATGTACTGATTCAAAGTGTACGGTACTCCGTGTAATACTCCATCCAGTATTGTTCCGTTCCTGTAATTTTCTACGGTCACTTTAATAAGCGCTGTTGCCTACTTATAATTCATTTTCAAGTGCTGTTGCTTGGTCCCTAAAACTCTCTGATTTTAAGTTCACTTAAATTGAATTTGTTCTTAGAGCCCCAAGGAATTTCCAAATGTCTCGATAAACAGCCCTAATAAGTTGGTAAAAACCACTATGTTACTTGTCTATCGCACTGTTTGTTTGGAGGAAATCTCCCACAACATAAATATGAACGTTCCATAAAATTTAGAAAGCTCGATCGCTACAACTTTAGCGCCCTGTTGACATTCCAATCCATGTCTTTAAAATAGTTTGTTAATTGTTTTATATCTTAATTCGCCTAGTATAGCGGGTCCATTATACTGTCGAATGCAACTATGATATCTACGAACAGTAGAAATACTAAAGCTGCCAACTGATGAATCTGTAAAGTAAAGCGTTTATCTGTTGTTGAAAGTTACCTAATTGTTGTAGTCTTGCCACATACATTTCCTCAGATAGAACAAGTTACCTTGTTTCAATACATGATAGATGATTAATTTAAGCTTAAATTTTACAGTTAAAGTCTTTCAAAATTTTCACATCGAACGGTTGACAGTAGTCAATAAATTCTTGCTTAATTCATCTTATTTATAAGTTGCTCTTGAATAGATGATAAAGCCATGAGCTTGATGCTAATCTCTAATGATATTTATTAGAACTTTTATTTAACACAACAGTTTGGAAATGTTTTATGTAATCCGCTAAGTCGAACATTGTGTGCTAACCGTAAGATTGTCTAGAAAACGTATATAGTCACACTGCGATATAGATTCCTGGAATATGGAACAGCTACCTTGAATTATTAGTTTTACAATTACCTGGGCAACCAGACAGTATAAGAAAATATCGCATCAAACGTTTTACTTAATAATGACCAAGTGAACACGTAGTAGTTTACCTGGTTTCATTTTTTAAATTTAATTAGGATAGATCTACCCAAAATACCCATAAGCAATTTGTACCATACAGTTACCTGGTGAAATGATCGAGGTGATACTTCAAAAAACATGAACATATTGCGTTTAGGAGGTATCGTTGTGGAAATTTTAGTTGGAAAAAAATTTTCGTCATTACCGTCATCGGTGATTGTCTGACTTTCAAACAACTGTAGTTCGCCTCCATCTATTTGACTGTCCCAACTATCCGGAACCAGATACCAAATAAACGCCACTCGACGACCGTCCAGTTTATCATCATGGCAGAGAAGATAATCTAGGTCAAAATATTAAAACAAGGATCAAAAATAGAGATTATGTAGGAGGAATCTTATGAACCAATTTATGCTCGATTTTAATGCTGTCAGGAAACACTTTAACGCTTCACTTTTGTGACCTTCAGTTACATTTCAGATTAAATAGATCTACAGGATGTAAATATAGAGCCATTGAAGTCTAAAAATACCTTTATTGCAATGCATCTTAAATGTTTATAGCACCCTGGACTTATGATGTACAACCTGGATGCTTCCTTTACGAACAAGTGAAGCTGGCGTGTATTAGTCAGTTCACTAATCTGTAGTTGGGTAACTTCAGAGAGAAGAACCAAGTTCACATTTTGTGATACTAAATATGCAATACAAGCGAAAGTGAATACTTAATAACCGAACTTTATTATTTAAAGGCCAGCACTTCTTTAAAAGTGGAACTCAAACCGTTGAACTAGCGCAAATACGAAAATAATCAATTCTGACTGTAAGACGTAGATTTGAATGATTTAAAAATTCATGAATGATTAGACAAGAGATTTACTTAAGCGCCAATTTCCTGAGGTGACTGGAATGTTATTTTTGTAATTTTGTGGTGAATGAAGACTTAATAGGGAAAACCAATTTACTGTTTTATGCAAAATTACATAGCACCTTTGTAAAATGCACACATTAAATACATCATTTGCTTATTTTGCTTTAGTTTTCCCTTACATACCATATCATTCTTCTAATTCTGTTGTTATTCTGAATGTTATTTGTTTTCCTTCCTGAACTCTTCATTTCAGTCTTTTGATGGCAATTATTCTACTTCCTATTCCTGCTACATACTACTTAAATCTGTCCACATAAGAAGCGCACATTGCAATTTGAACAACCAACTGTGGGAGAAAAACAGATCCAGCGGAGAAATGCGGAAGTGGATAGGAACACATTAAAAACAAGTAGTAGGTAAGTAAGTAGGTAAGTAAGTAGGTAAGTAAGTAGGTAAGTAAGTAAGTAAGTAAGTAAGTAAGTAAGTAAGTAAGTAAGTAAGTAAGTAAGTAAGTAAGTAAGTAAGTAAGTAAGTAAGTAAGTAAGTAAGTAAGTAAGTAAGTAAGTAAGTAAGTAAGTAAGTAAGTAAGTAAGTAAGTAAGTAAGTAAGTAAGTAAGTAAGTAAGTAAGTAAGTAAGTAAGTAAGTAAGTAAGTAAGTAAGTAAGTAAGTAAGTAAGTAAGTAAGTAAGTAAGTAAGTAAGTAAGTAAGTAAGTAAGTAAGTAAGTAAGTAAGTAAGTAAGTAAGTAAGTAAGTAAGTAAGTAAGTAAGTAAGTAAGTAAGTAAGTAAGTAAGTAAGTAAGTAAGTAAGTAAGTAAGTAAGTAAGTAAGTAAGTAAGTAAGTAAGTAAGTAAGTAAGTAAGTAAGTAAGTAAGTAAGTAAGTAAGTAAGTAAGTAAGTAAGTAAGTAAGTAAGTAAGTAAGTAAGTAAGTAAGTAAGTAAGTAAGTAAGTAAGTAAGTAAGTAAGTAAGTAAGTAAGTAAGTAAGTAAGTAAGTAAGTAAGTAAGTAAGTAAGTAAGTAAGTAAGTAAGTAAGTAAGTAAGTAAGTAAGTAAGTAAGTAAGTAAGTAAGTAAGTAAGTAAGTAAGTAAGTAAGTAAGTAAGTAAGTAAGTAAGTAAGTAAGTAAGTAAGTAAGTAAGTAAGTAAGTAAGTAAGTAAGTAAGTAAGTAAGTAAGTAAGTAAGTAAGTAAGTAAGTAAGTAAGTAAGTAAGTAAGTAAGTAAGTAAGTAAGTAAGTAAGTAAGTAAGTAAGTAAGTAAGTAAGTAAGTAAGTAAGTAAGTAAGTAAGTAAGTAAGTAAGTAAGTAAGTAAGTAAGTAAGTAAGTAAGTAAGTAAGTAAGTAAGTAAGTAAGTAAGTAAGTAAGTAAGTAAGTAAGTAAGTAAGTAAGTAAGTAAGTAAGTAAGTAAGTAAGTAAGTAAGTAAGTAAGTAAGTAAGTAAGTAAGTAAGTAAGTAAGTAAGTAAGTAAGTAAGTAAGTAAGTAAGTAAGTAAGTAAGTAAGTAAGTAAGTAAGTAAGTAAGTAAGTAAGTAAGTAAGTAAGTAAGTAAGTAAGTAAGTAAGTAAGTAAGTAAGTAAGTAAGTAAGTAAGTAAGTAAGTAAGTAAGTAAGTAAGTAAGTAAGTAAGTAGTAAGTAAGTAAGTAAGTAAGTAAGTAAGTAAGTAAGTAAGTAAGTAAGTAAGTAGTAATAAGAAGTAAGAAGTAGTAAGTAGTAAAGTAAGTAAGTAAGTAGTAAGTAGTGTAAGTATAAGTAAGTAAGTAAGTAAGTAAGTAAGTAAGTAAGTAAGTAAGTAAGTAAGTAAGTAAGTAAGTAAGTAAGTAAGTAAGTAAGTAAGTAAGTAAGTAAGTAAGTAAGTAAGTAAGTAAGTAAGTAAGTAAGTAAGTAAGTAAGTAAGTAAGTAAGTAAGTAAGTAAGTAAGTAAGTAAGTAAGTAAGTAAGTAAGTAAGTAAGTAAGTAAGTAAGTAAGTAAGTAAGTAAGTAAGTAAGTAAGTAAGTAAGTAAGTAAGTAAGTAAGTAAGTAAGTAAGTAAGTAAGTAAGTAAGTAAGTAAGTAAGTAAGTAAGTAAGTAAGTAAGTAAGTAAGTAAGTAAGTAAGTAAGTAAGTAAGTAAGTAAGTAAGTAAGTAAGTAAGTAAGTAAGTAAGTAAGTAAGTAAGTAAGTAAGTAAGTAAGTAAGTAAGTAAGTAAGTAAGTAAGTAAGTAAGTAAGTAAGTAAGTAAGTAAGTAAGTAAGTAAGTAAGTAAGTAAGTAAGTAAGTAAGTAAGTAAGTAAGTAAGTAAGTAAGTAAGTAAGTAAGTAAGTAAGTAAGTAAGTAAGTAAGTAAGTAAGTAAGTAAGTAAGGAAGTAAGTAAGTAAGTACGAAATTTGCCCTTAGTAAAGTTTACACTATGTATCTAATAATTTATGATTAGTAATGTTAGTACACAAATTGATCTATTTCAAATTTAGATAAGGAATATCATTAATATAATTCCACTTTATATTTAGTATCAATTTGCTAAGATACTTACAACTTATTTGAGTAGTTGCAATAGATTTCTCACAAATTAAGAAGTATTTAACAGTATAAACCATTCGAATTACAATCATGGTCAATCTGACATGAATTCCACACTTTTATTATTTATCTCATTAAGAATGTAACAAGAGTGATGGGTCATTTTGAAAATATTTTTTTAATACAAGCTATATGATGAATATCATAAAATATAATTACGAAACAGTCGTCAAGTAGTTTCAGGTTTTTTAATGGTGGTCTAACATCAATCGATTCATGATCACAATCAAAATATCATTACAGTTGAGTGATTATTAAATGTGACCGTCACAATTCATAATGATTAAAAATGGAACTATTAAGGTTAATCAGAGAAAAAAAGGAAATGTAATTTTTCGTTTGAAGAATGTGTAGGACTATTTGGATCATATTTAAATGCTAAATCAAACGTTTGTTTTTTGTATATTCATTTGCATGAACGGTGGTATTAGAAATAAGATCTGTAATAGAAATGAGTCATTTAATTTGTAGGCTTTTCACTAGGGAATGGAAGCCCCCAAATGCCCTGGTAAGGCCGAGAGTGGGGTGGGCCCGCCCCCCCTCACACGGCCACGCGTATATAGCCTCTGCCAGGGAAGTCCTACTCATTGCCTTCTCGTGGCGAGGGTGTTGTTTACGAAAATGAGAGGACGAAAAGCGAATGTCCGGCGCTTTAACCGGATTCCAAACCAATGGTGCACATGGGCTCCAGTATCCTGTGGGAACAAATGGCGTATGAACCAATTGTTGGTCACGGGCTACCATGGGGCGGCATCTCCTCACGATGCTCCACTGCCTTGTGGATCAGACCTTCAGGTTGAAGGCTCAGGGTGTGGCCCCCTAAGATAATTACCTGCTTCGGTCTGGGCATCCGAGCAGTATCACAGCCCGCACACAAATATGATGAACTGTCGATAATTATGGAAAATACTTTTCTTGCCTCAACTATTAATCAAACGATTCACATTATTGTTATTACTATTGTTATTATTTACTACATCATTTATTCACTCTCTTTTATTCCTACTCCGTCTATCCTTATTTTTCGACTTATACAGCAGCTCGTCTATGGTAGAAATTCGGTTCTATCTAAACGTTCTCGAGTAGAGACGTTATCAGATATGGCTCAGAATAGAAGCCAGTGGCGATCCTGCTGTAACTTTTTACTTTCGTCATAAAAAGTGGTTGCTTCTTACTTAACTGAAAGATCTCTTCTGAGTGTACGTTTCTGTTTCCCCCATTATTATTATTACACTGTCTTACCTTTTTTCCTTCTCTGCAAATTCTCATTGTTTTGTGTGGCGCATATATATTTGGTGCCCTCCTGTACCAATATTTATGTGTTTAAATAAATAAATAAATAAGGAATGGAATTCTTCAATAAGCAACCGCTCATATGATTTTGAAATGACGGTAAAGATTTACAATCCAGGTGGGTGGTTTTGGCGAATAAACTAACCAGCTCAGCGAAACCCTACACTTTAAAGGAACTTTCCTAGCATTCAGAATACATATATAAATGTATACTTCCTTTAAGAAAAATGTTTAAGTTATGGTAAATTTCAATTGTACTGACAGTTAGGTGGCAATTATTCAAGAATAAATAATAAGCTATCAGTTATAGCTTCAGAATAAATCACCTTCATTTTAAAAACTTTGGACTAGTCTTATCACAACAACATTCATTTGTACATGTTGTTGATATAATCTGAAGTATGTATATAACATTTACTTCGTTTTTCATCATCAATCTTATTAATTGACCTAATGACATGACTTTTATATGAAGTACATAATGGAAATCATGTTAAAGTAGTGAAACGGATGATTTAAAAGTTCCTGATCATCGATATTAATTCAGTTTGAAAATATTAGCTGTTATGTCCCGATAAGCATAATGAATGGTAACTTTTGGGATCAATTTATGGATCAATACTATGCGTATATTTTTATCATATGTTTGTTAAATAACTAAACTATTTACATTCATTTCCCTCTTATTATGAGCTTTATTTTGACCTATGAACTATTATTGTACGATTTACCATTCTTGAATTATGCCCTGTCTATTTATTACTACCTCACACATTCACAGCTACATCTGGCTAATTCTTGTACAAATGTTGTTTCTTATTTGATGGTACGATGTGATCTGTTTGGTCGGTATATGGATCCAGTACTCTTGAAATAAACGATTCATATCACAAAAGCTGAGATTTGTGTTCTGGACTTAACAGGCAGGGCTCGGGAGCAGGATCGCTAAGGACTCTAGATTGCTCTTACGGGTTTTTATGCGTCATTGGTCCGATCGATAACCCACTGCTCTCTAATTGGCGGTATCATTACTTTATACATTACCAGGGCACATAGGCCCAAGTAGTGTATAGCGTTAAAGATATACACAACAGAATCTCAAATGGATTAACCAATGATTCAACAGCGTGAAATCTGCGATTACATTCTGATAATGTAGGTTAATGCATGAATATTTAGAAATATGCGAAAATTATGAAACCTTGAGAAGTCCTAAATCATGATTATTAAACAAATTTAATAATAGAGAAAATACAATTTCCATATTAAACAGTTAATTCACCAACCTCCATGTTTGTAAAGTGAAGAAGTTAAATCAACTTTATTTTCATAAAGTGGAATACCAGTTATGTCTTTCAACCAAGGAAGAACACAGTTCAGCAAAAATGTTCTAAACAAAGAATATATATATTGACAACAACAACAAGAAAATACTGAGTGATCTTTTTTAATTTTGGAATTCCGAGGAACTCGTTAACATCAATAACATAGTGTCAACAGTGGATATACACCATTGTCCAACACAGAATTCATTCAGATAGGGGCGAATAACTAATATATCACGTTTTTTTTAGAAAAATGATAGACCACTTGAAGCACATTTAAAGCACTAAACCGTATTTGAATTATAACGTAAAGTTCGAAATCTTAATTAGTTAATAACTAGATATAATCACATGGCAAAAGACAAAAGATGAAAGGGTAAATTAGAAATTATTTAGATATGTTAAAAAGAGAGAACATATAAAACATTTTATGGATCTAAAGATTAGATCTACTCAAGTGTATCTTTATATATTGAGATGTGTTTAAGAGGAAATATTTAGAGCAGTAGAGTAAGTTGGATGGGATTAGATTGAATATCATATCCATTTTGATATGATAGCCCATATCGACTCAGCATGTAAGGAGGGAGTTTCTTATAATTCTTTGCCCTTTGCAAAGGATGGTTTTACGCCCAATGTAACGGGCTCTCTACGAGCATTTGAAGTGACAGAATCCGACGGCTTATCCTGATTTCGTGAAATCAATATTCAATAGTTAGAAAGCGAAAAACTAATCTTGTAACAATAAATATTGTTCTCCGAGTTTTTAGACGACGTGCCAAGATTTTACTGTTATATATGGTCTAAGGATTCAAGAAGGAAACTTTTTTCGGCGTTGTTGGCAATTTCATTATGGTTTTACTTAAGATATGTTTGGGTAGAATTTTCGATGGATATCGAAGTTACGGATAGTTCTTCCATAACGCGGTCATCGAGTCAGATGGATAGTGGCTAGCAGTGGAAGCCAGGACGCGCGTTTCGTCCTGTTTGCAAATAATGCTTGTAAATTAAAGCAATATCGAGGCATACGCACAGTATGCACATATGCCAATAAGAGACTGATCAATTTCAGTCCTAAAACATCAATGGAAAGATTCAAGTAAAGCAATATCAAGCGAATTAAACTTTACCCCACTGCACAAGCAAGTGGCTATCAGGACTCAGTAGCTAAGTGGATAACACGATGGCGTTTGAAGCGAACGGTACTGAGTTCGAGTCTCATAGTGAACATCAGCTCTGAGATGCAGGTACATCCGGCTGACGAGTCCCAAACAGGACGAAACGCGCGTCCTGGATTTCACTGCTAGCCAATATCCATTTTTGCTTATAATTAGTATTATTTGTTTTTACATTGTAACTAATTTAAGAAAGTTTATCAGATCCATATAATGACTGTCAGAGTATAAGACAGATACCAACTGCAAACAAAATTTTGGTTATTATAATACTCCAGAGATTGAGCGAAAAGCATGAAAGACTGACTGAGAACGAACTAGCCAGTCTTTGTTGTTTTTTTTTCTATAAGGGTCCTAAGTAATTCATTGGATAGGACTGTTCTCTCTGCCCGTAAACGGATTACCCCAAGTTATGGGAGGATACACCACTTTATTTTTATAATTCGGTTGGGTTAGACAAGGCTACTTAATCCCGACATCATAGAAATATGTATGGAGAAAGAAATCGGTGTGGATCTAAAACCTGGAGAGACGTGCGTTTTGAAAATCCAGGTGACAATTTTTGTCAATGTGTTACAAAATATTAAGATACATGGGGAAAATGGAGTGGTGGCCAGTTTATGACATGCCGATCACCTGCAAGTTATTAAGTTGAGGCTTCTGAATATACTCTACTTACTTCGAATAAGAGCAAAGAGGTAGTAGCATCACCTCGTGTTAGCAGAGTATAGATTAGATTAAAGCATGTTCTGTGTACGATTGAGTTGGGGCACATTGAATTGATACTTCCCAACCAATCAGTGCTACCGGATATTTGAAGAAGACTCAAGAATGTTCTTATGTAAAAATTATAAAAAAACTAACGTTTTTCATATTGTGATTCCCGTTTCCATTCACCCATGTTATTCGGAATATAATTACGTCCCAGTTCAACCGTGTTCTGATTTTGGGACTTTTCGAGTTCAAGAATACCAAGCAATAAGAGTAGCTCAGTTGTAGTAAGGGAAATCATAACAGCTCAAGACCGATCATCTAGTTATGACAATGCTGTAGAATGGAAAATAGTTGTACATGAATCTTGTCTCGTTGGGTGTTCTGAAAACCATGCAACCAAAGCTATGAACGTTGAGACGTGGCTCAGAATGGAAGCCAGTCGAGATATCGCTGTGGCTTTCTATTACATTCTTTATAAAAGTAAAATGTATCTTTATACCTATATGGATCTACGTTGATTATTTTCCGATTTGCAGCATGTCTTTCAATAAATATTATTTATGTGGATTGATTCGTTTAATGCATGGGCTTTGTTCTTGACATTCACTGATGTACCGAATTTCAGGGTTATGAACAATACGCAAAAAATGTTTGGTGGATATAAAACATCTGATGTACTTACCTGAAGCTTACAAGCAAAGGAAACTTGGAAGTATTAGAAGAATTCTCTTTTGGACACAAATTTATAACATCACAACTTTGAGAGAACGCAAAAAGATCGTTTCCTCTTCGTACAAAAGGCAGCTTTTCAACTTCCTCTTCTACTAATTGAACCAACTGTTTCGTGTCCATAGTTTCTATAAGTTCAAATCTCAAGAAACAAAAGACTAATATACCTGCCACCTCCTGTCTAAACTGCACGAAGTTGTTGAACTTTGCAAAGGTAAAAGGGACATGTCTCAGTAAACTTTCATCTGAAAAAAATTATCGAAATATAGCAGCGACATTAAGACGAGAAAAAATATGTTAATTGCTTTGCATTGATGAAATGTAGCACAAAGACGACTATATACAACAACCAACTTCATGACCCATAGCCTTCAAATGAACCAACATCAAAAAATAGAGAAAGTCACTAACAGTACAATACTGCACAAAATAACTATCAAATATAAACAAATGGCATTCTTTGTAAGTCATCTAACAATTAACGAACTTAAGTTTTATTTGCTGTCTGCCGTTTAAAATAATATGAACAGACATCTCATATAATAGGTTTGAGAATGAAGTCAGCACTGTTATACGGGGTCGATTGATAATATGATTTATAAATATTAACTCAAGGAGTAATCTAAGCCGTTCACCATAAAACAGTAAATCTTTTACTTAATTACCGTGAAATACTACTGGATCTAGTCTATTCCTCTGAAACTAGTCCTACCTGACGGTGAAGGATTTCGAGCAAATGCAATTCAGTTGTTTACAACGGCCGTATAAGTACTCCTGGAAACTAAAAAACTCAGTCATTTGAATCTATACCATAATGTCTATTAGATCACCTCTGATACAGAATGAAATATACATGTGGTAGATGAACAAAGCAGTTTTCCAGAAAAAACAAGTACCTGAGTTAATATTAAGAGCGGCAGCCTAAAATGGAAGGCGTTTGGCTTTCACTCAAGGCTCGAAATCAGCTACACCTAACTCAGTTTGATCGAACGGATAGTGTTATTAGCCCTCAGACTTAATATGGCCCATACTCAATCACCTAGTGAACGAGATAGTTAAAATTGAACACTGAGAGTACATTTCATAAAGCCTTTAACATTTAGGAAGGTTGAAAGTAAACTGAAAGAGCAACACCAGTATATGTAACCTTTTCTAACATTTTAGTGAATTTATGAAGTGACACCAAGTCTTTACTTAACAAACCCTAGTTTCCTTTCAGCTTACTTCTACACCAAACAAAATCGCTTGAAGACATAGGTAGTGACTAAGCATATGTGATACTTTACGACCACATCAATCCATTTGTATTCTCTGCCCAGCATTAAGCCTTAGAAAACCGTCTATTTTTTTGGATTTTATTTACTAAAACTGTACAATCAAATGTTATTGAATGATGAATTGGTTAGAGAACTAGTTACTATGAAGAAATAATGATAGATGTTAGTTCAAGTTTACTTGAGGTTTAGTAAAACTTAATTTACTAATGATTCCAAAAAAAGCATCTTGTAAGCAACCTGTCCAACATTTATCTTCTACTGTGATTTATATTGTGTATAAAATGTATAAATTTTTCAAAAGAATTGTGCTCAAATCAATACAGTAAACTACTCGGTTAGTATAGTATATGATATTTACATAAAGTATCACAAGTGAACTGATTTATATAACTGCTTCAGTCTCTATTTATTTAACTGTTACAAGTTCAAACTGGAAACTATCTATTGTTACAGACTGTTGAAATATCATAGCTTCCAAATTCCATGGTACGGCGTCTGCTAGGAACACCGGGTAAGTAATAGTGAGGTTAGACGCAGAGTATCAGGGAATGATTGTGAATCGGTTGATGAGGTTGTGAATCTTCATCGACTGAGATGGTTGGGCCACGTGTTGCTTAAGCCTGAAAACCGACTACCACAACGCGCAATGCTAACTGGTGTTGGGGATGGTTGGAAGAAAACTAGGGGCGGCCAAACCAAAACGTGGCATCACTAACTTCTGGTCTTAGCCATGCTGGTAGATGCAGACTACTTGGTTGTCGTCCGCGTGACTACCGAAACCAATGGTTGGAGACTCTTGGTGACATGGCTCAGAATCCATCACAATCGCGTATGTGTATACACTCTCTGTCTTCTCTTAAACTACGAGATTAAAATCGCTTCATGTCTTTCTTTCTACGGAATAATTCTTTCTTCATGTACTATATCCTCATATGCAATCTTTCTTTTATATATTGCCACCACTGAATTAACTACTTCTATGAATCCGGTGTACATCTTGTTGTGCTAATGAGGTATGACAACTTGGACCGATGCGCATGTGCCTGGTCATACGTTATAGCTGACTGACTGACAGTATATTGCAAATAACATTAACTGCAGTTAGATCGACTGGTAAGGAATCTAAATAAATGTAAGACGGACACTTTTAGCAAAAATATTTGGCTATTTGTCGTTAGAGTGAAAAGGAAGCACAAGAAATCTGTTTGTTCAATTTGTTCCTTTTTTGAGGACTTGCCCAGCTTCACTTATTATATTATTGGTTAATCGTAAAAGCTACATTCATACACGTAATTTGTAAGCAGTAATTGAAACTCTCAGTACCAATTAAAGAGTTTATACACTAATAATTTAACTACATCTTTGAATAATCGACCTACGTATATTTACGGATAGGGGCCAAACAACTACGTTGCTTGATGTTTTCATGCGTCAAAATAGATGTCCCATACCCAGGCACAAAGAAGTTAAATAAAAACTAAACCATCATGCAGGATAAAAGTACAATACACTGACAACCTCGAGTTAACCAACCAGAACTACGATGGTGCCTCGCGTATTTTGCGCGGAATTTTACGTACAGTGACAACTTTTATGTTATTACTAAGGAAGCAAATGTTGACATTTGATATCTAGAATGCCTTAAATCAACTAAAATAAGTATCGTACAACAAGAAAGTGAATTCAAAGTGATTCTTGGACTAAATTACAAAACAATAGCTCCTAAAACAGTGTGGTAAAGTACTTGATGTGATCCAGTACAAAGTCAAGAACACTTTATCAGGCTAGACAGTATTCTCTCCTTCTAATCCTCAACTTTACGTCCGATCCCAAGTCTCATAAATCTGTAAACAGAAGTTACAAAAACACTAGGAAGTCGCTTGAATTAAGATAAAAACCCATTACTTCACTTTAAAAAATGCCATTTTGCTGCAAGTCCTTTCGTAACAAGGTATTTTTGTCTAATTCACTGATAGATCGCTCAGAGTGAACAGTATACAAAACTTTAACTTTATGCAGAACGATAAATAATTAAAACATATCCGTTGGGCAACTTATTTGTCTCGTAACACTTACTTGTGACGAATTCTTGAGCGTACCTTTCACAGTAACAATCGCGAAAGCCAGACTTAAAAGACTCAGATACAAAGTTAGAATTAATCTGGAAAAGCATGTCATACAGTAGCGCAGCACATATAAAAGGCGGGAGAAAGAGTATGTTCATTCCTCAGTCTTCTATAATAAGTGTACGCGTAAGATTTATCGTTGAATACAGTTTGCTCTTCTTTTCCAAATTATGCCTATCCGATATACCGGAAGGAATACAATAGATTTCACCTGCCAAACGCCTAAAACCTATTCACTCATTGACTATAGTTCCCGATGACATATTCTAGGGATTGAACACTTTGGAACTAATGCCCGTTTGGAAAAGGAGATTTATGTCTCATTTGATTTCCTACTTCAAACTCCCTAAAATCTTACTATACATCTATTATAGTTCTTGCTAAAGATTCACATGAATACGACCGTCGAGACAAAGTATGTATGGTAAAAGTTGAAAAATACAGGTCAAGGACTCGAGACACAATTCTTTTCCACCAAGTACTCATTTATATGGGACGGTCGCTGCTCTCAAATACGCGTGGCAGATGAATTCGAAACGTTTGTAAGACTTATTGATCAAACCCTCGCTTGCACTTATCCAGCACGACCAAATACATCTGAGTCCCACTCCGACAACATAGGCTCCCTACATGTGTAGACCAAACTTTATTCTAACCTCAGTTTTCTTTACTTTCCTAATTTTCGATCGTTCTAGATAGTTTCCCTCCTTTGCTAGGAGTAAACAGATAAGTCACTGGACCTATTGATGCCGCTCAACTAAGGTCGGTTGCTTAGGGACGCTCACTACCACACAAAAAAGTCAACATAACCGGACAACTGACGGTCTGCTACCAGTGGTTTTGCATTTATGGGGCCGGCAACAAATCAACCGGCTAGGATAGCATAAGATAGCATCAACACCAAGTTAATGTGAGTTCCTCCTTGTTTATTCATCATCAGATTTCTACTCTCCTGTACACTACGTTGACTTACCATTAATTTGATTTCACCACTCACTGCCTTATCTATAACTAATATATTCCTATACTTTTCTGCCTACTTTGGTAAACAACCATCCGACATTATACCTTTATCAATGTTATTTATTACTGCATTCTCTTATCTGAAGGCTCCAACCATATTTCACCCAAGCATTAGCGGTTAGTATGTGTCCAGACGCGATGCCAATTTTGAAAAATATTTTAAAAGCTGTACTCAGTGCAACACAAAAACTTAAACCCGATCACTAACTTTCTGGAACATCTGCACCAATGTGATGTAGTTTATTGACTTCATTTATTTAACAACACTACTTGATAAGTCTGGTGTGAGCGGACTAATTTTGTAACTTATAGATCATGTTTGTAAAGATGACGTGCACCTACTCTGGCAGAGATTTAATGTTATAATATTATAATTGCTCCCACGTTCGCATTTTCTGACCTCCGAGTGTCACATGCTAAATGTAAATTTTCTCAGTAATTATATGTTCGATTCCAAATCCAACATCAATTCAGACTACAGATCACGTCGTTTATAGGCCATTTCCTAGTCATGAATATGTAAAGATATTTTAGGTAGTCTTGCATTTGGGCTGCCAGCTTAACCTGAAAATATCTATTCGATCAGACCATAGAGTTGCATCACTTAATGACTGCCATGTATAAACTACGATCCGCATCCTTTTGAAAAGCCTTTTAGTTTGAGCCGAGCGCTCATTTTTTTCCTGTAAGATACGTTCCGTGTCCCGTTTCATCCAGTAGGTTCGTTTCTTAGCTGCTTGCTCTAACTCAGGTTATTTGTGTTTAATAGCATTCCGAGATGTAGTGAAAAATTCATGTAAATCTAGCGGCTTCAAGCCATGTGTAATGACTGACATAATTATTTACACAATAAAATCTGATTCAGAGCAGCTTGTGTATAGTTAAGTAATGAATTCGGGCGTCATATATGTGTATCCGCCTAATTTGAATTTGTCCGAATTGAGGACACAAGTGTTAGCAGGTACAGAGCGTTGGTTGGTCGTTTACTTCAAGTTCCCACATCTGAGAAGTACGAACACCTTATCATTGCACTATTCAGCCACTTGATCAAACTTCAATGGTTCAAATTGTCCAGTTTCAATCAATTCGCAGTACAATGACTATCAAGTCGGGCTCACCAGTTTCGTGCCTCTAGGTAACCTTCTTGCTATTGATAGAAGAAACCAGACAAGTAGTGAATAATTCTTTATTTCGATCTTTGCACAGTCACAGTGGAGTGTGGTGTTACTTATTTAGACAACCAAAACCTCTCAACATTCAATACAAGATAATAGGAAACATAACGCTTGTACAAAATAAGAAAGTGAATAAACACTTGAACAATATTGTTTTGGAATATGCTTAGTTGTTTGAGGTTGACTCCTAACCAACCAACCTAAAATGTTACAACTACAGCATCAAATGCAGTCTATTGACGTCCGACTTCACTAACAACTCGGTTTACTCCGAAAGTCACATATTAACATCAGAGCTTCAAGAGTTCCATCTAGACACCATTCAACATTAGGAATATGCTCACCAAGGTGGTTTGTGAGTAAGTACTTAATTCTGGCATACTTATTTACAGACCGACGTCAGATGACTAGTGCTTCTTGATTTGCCACCTGATTTTTCATTGATTTCAATAACAAACGCATCTCAATTAATCAGTTTTTCACAAAATACAACAATATGTTATAACAAAGTTAAAAGCAATTTCTCGTTTATTGAGTAAACTACATTTATAATATATCATCTTCTTAAGAATCTACTTGATCATTAAAAATAAATGTAAAATAGTGTAGAAAGTTTGAAGTTATTCGAGAAATCTAAGTCATACAATAAGATGATTACATTTATTCACATCATAAGTGATCCTGGAAAACAATAATAGTGAAAACAAAAGAGTATAGTCTCTACACGTTAAATATATTAAAAATCCAACTAAAAAATACTATGTAAGGTTGATTTTACTTATAACATTGTTAAGTTATAAAATCAAAAGTGAAATGAAGTCAAATGCTTCCTCAAATATAGATGCCATTCATTTTCTCTTCAGTTAATTAATCAGCCTTCCATATGTAAATTAAAAGCTGGTACATATGTGCACTGTTTCAAACAGATGGGTTGAAAATACTTATCTGTTGTGAAGAACCAGAATATTTCTCAAAAAAGCCCGAAGGGGCTCTGGAAATACCAAGGAACATTTTATCCAATCAGCATTGAATCGAAGTGTCTCAGAAACACTTAGAAAGTCAAGAGTGACGTGGCACGTCTCTGATTGGATGACTGCCTACCCTGCCTCTATGTTTAGTAGAGTTCTAGAACGTTCCACGAGCCCAAGGCCATCCGAAATGCTAGAACTGCTCTCAGTGTTTTGTACATAAACTAACCTTGAAGTAAAGAATTCTTTTCAAATTTCCCGCCTCTTCTTTCGTGTTCAAGTTGTCGTGTAGTTTCAGTCTGGGGTTATTAGAGGAACTTAGGAAACCGATTCAAGCTTTCAGTCATAAGATTTACCAATGTTCAACTAATAAAAACTACTTTAAAACACTGCATCTTTCAGTGAGCATCCAATTGATATCAATCTCTGCAAACATTCACACATAGTAATGAATTTTTTTTATTGAAATTGTTTGATATACAGTCAACTATTTCGACTAACAAAATAAAAATATCACAGAACATGAATAACATGTTAAAGCAGTCAGTCGACACAGCATCATGTATACAGAAATAATTTTTCATATCTGAATGATATAAATATCATATTAATGTTTGTTATGCCATCAACTAAGCACGAACTATGAAAATGTTTCTTATTTCAACTACTACTGATTAGTAAACACCCAATTATGAACTGAGTGTAATTTTTGCTTGCGCAATGAATCTATGAGCACTTTACAAAACAGTTTGTCATAACTTAAACATAAATAGTAATTTTTTTGATAACTAGTAAACACCTTTAAATGATGAACAAAGAAAAACAACAACAACAACAACAAACATAGATCTATTTATAATACTGACTAATTGCCAATCAATGATTTTTTTCATAGTTGACATCATGAATCGATTGAAGCTAAAACACCCAGGAAAACATAGAAGCACTGCACGGCAGTTTCGTCCCAATTTGGGACTCCTCAGCAGTGCACACCCAAATATCTATTATTTGGTGATTTTGTGCATATAAACATATATTTATCTGAGTGTTCATTTATAATTACAAATTTTTCTTCATACTAAAGTGAGGTACAACTCTGTAAATCAAACTCTACAATCGTACATATATGTAAAAAAGTACCTGAGCTAAAAAACAGATTTTAATTTTGTTTATTCACTGAGAATCTACTAATCTACTAGTTCAATACGTCCAGTTCATCATGAATATTAAGGTTACGTAATGAATATTTCTTGTCATAACTGAATATTAACGGATTTAATTGATTCAGTTAATTAATAAATACCCAGACATAAATATAAATATTATAAGGAAGGATGGAATTAAGGCAATATCGAGGCAATCTGCACAGTATGCACATATGCAAATAAGAAGATTCAAGTAAGCAATACAAAGTTAATATGAACATAAATATTTCAGAAACAGAACTTTCAGTGACAGACTAATTAGTTTATTTAACTCCAATTTAAATTTCCAAACTGAACATCAAACTATAGTTTATTTCATGAATTAGATCGTGGTTGGAGGTAGTCAACAGGAAACTCTAGACCCGGGTTTCGTGCTACTTGGCACTCGTCAGCAAAGTTTACCTGTAATCTTGAGGGAACTGAGGCTCCCTGACGGATTCGATCCCGTGTCACCCAGCTTCACAGTCAGAGATGTTGCTGCTTGACTATCCGGGACGCTAGGCTGCTCATACCAGTCGGACGTCATTGGTTTTGGCGCAGTACTAAGATTGAATAAGTCGTAATACGATTGGCGAACAAATCATGTGATAAATTACCGGATTAAAAGGTCACAACATTTTCCTTGTCTCTATAAGCATAGTTGAGTAAATATTGTATTGAGACATTGGATTCTGTTGTTATTAAATTGAAAAAATATTCGTAGTAATCAATAAACCATATAGTAAAGTTATGATTATTATTAACCATTAAATTTTCAATGCGTTCATTAGTTCCACTGACCTTTACATATGCTCATTGTCATTACTGTTCATCATGGTAACATCAAATGGTTCATTTTCATCATTTAATACTTGATTTTCTTGATTTGTTCCCTAAAACATTTTTATAACACACTCTGTTTATTCTTCAGTATTAGACAATTAAATAAAAGAAAAGGTTGTGAACACCTTTGTTTAACAGTATTGAAAGTAAATGAAGATTAGAATAAAATACATATGGGATTTGATGATCTGTGGACTAAAAAACAACAAACTAAATTTTTAAATTCACTTGGTAATTATCAGTATAGGGGTTGTGGAGATTATTAATTTTTTCATTGAGATCACGAACCGATTGATGTTAGACCATCAATGATAATCTGGAGGCACTGGATGGCCGTTTCGTCCTACCATCCCGCAGGCGGGATTCTGACCCAGAGCCCTGACCAGTGGAGGTAATCCGTGTCGGGTAGAGATAGGTATCTACCTAAGTACAGTGGAAGATGGTCGCGCAATTTCGTGAATCGGTTGAGGTTAGACATTAATACCATTAGATGCCGGCTCAGTGGTCCAGTAGGTTAAGAGTTCGAGCGCAAGACTGAACGCCCTGGGCTAGAATCCCGCGCGCGCATCGTGGATGAGCACTGCTGAGGAGTCCCACAATAGGACGAAACAGCCGTCCAGTGCTTCCAGGTTATCAATGGTGGTCTAACATCAATTGGTTCATGATCTCGATCACTCTGGATACCACTGTTAGTCACTATCCATCTTTGCTTATAAACCGAATTTTTATTGTGAGATAGTCGGTAACCATTATTACGGTAGTATTGACTAAATTCGATGTATTTATCTAGAATACAAACTCCACCATTCACTAAACTGTTGAAAGGAGTGATTTAGCATTGATTCATAGGACTTCATTATTCAGTCATTAAATTTTAAATGCAAAGACTGAAATTCTCTCGGTTCCATGGCGATTTAATATAGAACCTAACTGTGAGAACATTTTTGTTCTTATTAACAATTCAAAAGCCTTCATTTAAGACTTTTGACATATGATTGTGATTTTCAAAGATATCAGTTGTTTGATATTTTTGTGATTTAAATTCATACACAGCATATTGTGGTCCAGATCAGCTTCTAAATGAAGACGAAATTAGGAAAAGATGTTAAAAGTGGATAGGACGTACATTAAGAAAATCGCCAAATTGCATCACAAGGCAAACCCTAACTTGGAATCCTGAAGGAAAGCGGTAAAGAGGAAGGCTGAAGAACACACCACGTCGGGAAGTTGGAGCGGATATGAAAAGGATGAATAGTAACTGGAAAGGATTGTCCAGGTCAGTGTTGAATGGAGAGTCCTGGTGGGTGGTCTATGCTTCTCCTCGAGGAGTAACAGGCGTAAGTAAGTAATATTGTAGACACTAAATTCTTTTTATAATGCATTCTTTCTCCTATGCTGATTATGGATATTTACAATTAGTGGAGTATTCGTAATTTTGAAATCAGATTCAATTTCGCTATGATTCATCTAACATGTTCAATCATGTAATAACTCCTAATAAAAATGTCGATACTGCTATATTGATATGACTATTTGTTATGATTTTGCGGAAAACTAACTATTTTCCGCATGTTCAACGAAACAGTACTAATATAGTTTGAACCTCTAAAGATATGGATTTCAGTCAGTCAGTCAGCTACAACGTATGACCAGGCACATATGCACATCGGTCCAAGTTGTCATACCTCATTAGCACAACAAGATGTACACCGGATTCATAGAAGTAGTTAATTCAGTGGTGGCAATATATAAAAGAAAGATTGCATATGAGGATATAGTACATGAAGAAAGAATTATTCCGTAGAAAGAAAGACATGAAGCGATTTTAATCTCGTAGTTTAAGAGAAGACAGAGAGTGTATACACATACGCGATTGTGATGGATTCTGAGCCATGTCACCAAGAGTCTCCAACCATTGGTTTCGGTAGTCACGCGGACGACAACCAAGTAGTCTGCATCTACCAGCATGGCTCAGACCAGAAGTTAGTGACTTCAAGCACTGATGCCACGTTTTGGTTTGGCCGCCCCTAACTTTCTTCCAACCATCCCCAACACCAGTTAGCATTGCGCGTTGTGGTAGTCGGTTTTCAGGCTTAAGCAACACGTGGCCCAACCGTCTCAGTCGATGAAGATTCACAGCTATTCACAGTGGCATCCAAAATTATGTATATATCATTTTAACTATTCGTTCAGTGGATAAATTCGAATGTATTGAACAGGGAGTATTTCACCATAGTTATTCAATAATTTAATGCAATTATACAATTTACAAAATCAATATATTAACTGTTTTAACTAACAAGTGTAACTACACTGCCAAATTACATGTTTTGCTCTTTCCTAATACAGTTTTTGTAAAACCCCACCCAGTATAAGTATTATGAACTAAACGTTAAAAAGTTTTACATATAAATGGTGATAAATTCAAATACGGTTCTTTGACCAGAACTCATAATAATAATTTTTCATCTGGATGAAGTTTCGTACTCTTAGCTGAATAGTTTAATGATGAAGTTTTCATTGTTCTTCTGAGCAACATCATCAGTACAAATATAAGTTTGTATTTTTAGAGGATTTGATATTCTCAGTGAAATTTCCCTATTTTTATTATTGAGCAGTAAGTTAACTGAAAGTATTATCGAATGAACAATTTCTAATAGTTCTGGATTCACTGACATCACTGAATAATATATAGTCAACAGATCATAGATTAAATATAGTGTTTAGTTAATAGCATGAAAATGATGAAGTACTCTTATTCTAATTGTTTAGTTAATTTTAGCTCAATTAACGAAATTCAATGAATTTGATTGATACATTCAATTATTCTTCATAGACGACAGTATTTTTGATAACATACAATTCTGTTTTCTCCCTCAAAGAAACGGATTCTCTGTTAGTTGTTACTATTAAGAGAAGTATGGAAACAGTAGTATTTTGGCGTTTTTTTAACGAGTTAGTTTTCCACGGGATGGAGTCGCTAACCCCATGCCCAACCCTCATCCTTTACCCGGGCTTGGGACCGGCAGTAACTCTAGAAGAGCTACAAGATGAATAACAACTGGAAAGAGCTGGAAAGGTTTGCACAGGACAGAGTTGGATGGAGAATGCTGGTGAGCGGCCTATGGTCCTTCATGAGGAGTAACAGGCGTAAATGTGTTAGTAGTGGAAACAGTAAAAGTGCAAAAATATAAAATTCTACTGGAATTGTAACTTCACTTCAGTCAGGTATCATGATTTTTACCTACGGACCATTTTTCACTAGTAGTAAAAAAATGAAGATGATGGTTGGTTGTTCCTGATTTGGTGAATAAGTGGTTTAAAGATTAATCTCAATTTGAGGGTAATATTCAACACAGATTAAATGCGTTTGAGGGAACTTTCGAAATCTAAAGAGGACTGAAGAATTATCTCGTTTTACTACAGGAATCCTCAATAATGAATACCCACGGAGCTGCCAGATATCGAACCCAGGATATTTAGGTTTCACATCGACTTACTAGACTTCTGATTTGGCATCCAAAGGTATACATTTCCAACTACAATCAATTTGTGACAAAGTGCGATGATCATTCAATGATATTAGTAACCTTTGATTGACTCTTGACCTTTTGAGACTCTATCGTTCATGGTTGCTGCAAAGAACTTCGGGAACCCACCTCAAAGTGAGTTACTGTTGAACACAATGATAGATTTTGTAAAGATTAGTCTTACTTTAAAAAAGTATTCATCACGGATTGACCTTAGATAAACTACAACTTACATCCAGGTAGTCTAGATACGTTGCATTCCTGAGATCGATACTTGAAGATGTCATGTGTGCGCACCGCTGAGAATTCCTCTTCTTGCATTCAACAGTTGATAGTCTATTTCGTAATGTTAGACTAATTCATTTAATTCACCCGTAGATCTGTCCTAAAACTGTAGCTTGATTCGCCTTAATTCTCCGAATCATGTCATTCTATGATAATATATATCTCCAACAGTTTCCACCAACCTCATGAACTGATGAAAATCATATGCTGACTAGGAGTTATCCACGAATTTCTAACGAGAAGCTGTGACCAGTTGAGATGAATCATTTTTGATTTGAGGCAGTTACCCATCGACAGCAACAAATGATGGTCGAGCAATATCACGAAAAGCTCGCAAGGAAACCTGAAAATCCTGGATTCGAAAGGTCCCATGATAGAACGAAACAGTTGCCCTGTGCTTACTGGTTTTGATTATATGGCTAATTAAGGTCAGTCCGTGATGTAAAATACATGAAAAATATAGACCCTCTACATTTACATCAATACCAAAGTGCTATAATTTCTCTTATTACGACACAACTACTCATATTGCTAAATAATCTCGGACACTACTTCATTCAAAAAGTCCCCAAATCAGAACACGGTTGAACAGGAATGTAGGAATCGCAATAAGAAAGATGTTAGTATATTTACAATCTTAACATAGAAAGATTTTCAAGTTTTCTCCAAGTCTCTGCTAACGCTGATTGGTTAGGAAATAACCAATCGGTATGCCTCATCACAATCCTTCACGGAACATGTTTTAATCCAATCTATTTTCTGATAATTAGATTAAATTATCTCGTATTCACGTTCTGCTTAAATGTTTAAAAATGATTAGTTTATCGGAAAATTGGATTACACTAAGTTTATGAAGAAATTTCACTAGTTCACCTTTAGAATCATGAAATACCAAATGTGTATCAGTTGTCTAAGATATTGAGATTATTGAGATCATGATTCAATTTAAAGACGAAACGGCCGTCCTGTGCTTCCAGGTTTTTCATGGTGGTCTAGCTTCAATTGACTCATGATCTCAACTATTTAAATTACTACAATCTCCAGAAAACCCCTTCAGATACTATTCAAGATATGCTCACTAGTGACTGGATTCAAGATGTATATCCTAGAATTCTAGTGAGAAGTGACCAGTGGAGTTCAACCGTGTCAGTTGTGACATAGTAACTCACTGATGACAATGATGGATGTGTCGCTCAATATTGTGGATTAGTTGAAGTTAGACATTAATACCGTTGGATGCCGGCTCGGTGGTCTTGTGGTTAAGCGCTCTCGTGCAAGACTGATAGGTCCTGTCTTCGAATCTCGCATGGTGGGATCGTGGATGCACACTGCTGAGAAGTTCCACAATAGGACGAAAAGATAGTTCAGTTCTTCCAGGTCGTCCATGATTGTTTAGCTTCAATTGACTCATGATCTCAACTATTGAAATTACTAAAATCTCCACAAACTCCCTTCTGATATTGATTGAATATATTGTAGTTATTTGAAAACCTTTATTTAATATATTATAAGTTCTTAAATTCCTAGGTGAAAAGTCCTTAAAAAGTTTATATATCATATGGAATCATTCAAATTATTGATTAATTAACAATGATTCAATATAAACTAACATGTAGATCTTGTTCATTTAATATTGAATTTTGATCATTCAATAAATGATATTCATGAAGTAAGTTCTTCAATGAACTTGCTATGAATTGATCAGAAGTTGTATCAATTAATTCATTCTATAAAATGAAAATAGAATATCATTTTTGAAGAAATTATTATTTTATACAAGTGAAAAGAATAAATGATGATACATATACCTGGACGACTTTATTTTCTACACCTTGAAAATGACTGTACTTGATCGACAAGGTTGTTGAAATTAGCAAATATGATTTGTTTATCTGATGTCACATGGCGGTTCAGTAATAGATAATTAATGAAGAACACAAATCCATGTATTCTGGTTGGGAAGAGACTATAGTAACATATATCTACAATACTAAATACTTTAGTTATTCTAAACACATCATTACTTTTTGTAGGTATCATTAACAAAATTATAAATTTGTAGGGCCAGTGAAATGTCACCGAACTCTAGCCATATCATCCTGCATTTGGGTCACTAGATGTCGAACAGTTCATCGATCCCTGTCAAGGTCAAGGACAAACAATGCGCATCAATTAGTTGCACACCATGAACTGGTCCATGCGGTGGTGTTTGCAACTTCTACTGTATCTCTACTTTCGTTAATACATTTCTGTAATAACGTCCTTCGTTATACGGTCTTCAAAGAGTCCATAGAATCTTCATACCACGAAAGGGTAATCCACGCTAGGTGCTGACCGCGATGTGTGACTTATTGGTCACATTATTCTCGTCTAAATCAAATAGACCCCCAGTCATTCGACATAGACAATCTACGTTGGTGATTTACACATTTGTAATATCCCAATGAGTAGAGAAATTAAGTTTTTAAATTTTCTGACGTTTCGTGACTTAGTGTAAGCCACTTCTTCAGAGAATAAATAATAAATAAATCCAGGTTTAAATAATACAAAGGAACAAAACAAGAATATTAGGTGCGAAAAATCAAAAAACAGGTCTGAACAAGTCATTTCGGTCAAGATGATTTATACGTGACATGCATGTAAATTTGTGTGTGTGTGTGTGTGTGTATTTGTGCAGGGTCAGGGATGAATGAATGTGACCTTTGTGGTGAGAAAGGATAGAGTTTAACCTTTATGTACGATAGTAGTATGAAATGTGAATAGAATCAGAAATGGTTGCTTGGATAGATAGTCCATGTCGGATGGATAGTGAGGCCTTCATTTCTATTTACGACAGTAAGATTAAACAATATATGAAAAGCTTCAGCTAATCGCATTTTTTTTGTAGCTGGAATAGTCTTTTTCTATTATTTCGATGTTAATATCGATTGAATGGTTGCTGAAAATTGCATGAACTGCTATTAACGATTTAATTTGAAGTCTTTCCAGTTCTACGGGATTATTAGGTGGTTTCTTCGTGTACCTAAGATATTCTTTGACCCGAGTCAAGATTTCACGAAATGATTCTTCGATGTAGAAGGCATCACATTATTTCATCCTTTAGTATATATACACATACAAATAAACAAACATGTCTCAAATAAATCACTTTAGCCGGAATGATATGACATTGACTTGGTTAGGCCTGTTTTTTGATTGGTCGCACCTAATATTCTTGTTTTGTCCCTTTGTATTATTTAAACTTGGATTAATTTTGTTTTGGTTATTTATCCTCTGAAGAAGTGACTTACACTAAGTCACGAAACGTCAGAAAATTTAAAAACTTATTGGGATATTACAAATACATTATTTTTATTTACATCTTTATTGTGTTTAGATATGCTGTAGATAAGCTGATCAGATGTAGCTTTTCTGACTGTAATGTTAGGTTTTTTAACATTTCAATCACAAGGGGAACTTTGATTTTGTCTGAAATCACTTAAGACAAACAGTGTTATATTTCAAGCGCCTTAATCACTAATTTCAGCCGTAACATTAAATGAAGTTCTTTGATGAACACTTAAAAGTGTCTAATCAGTTTGTTCTGGCCACCTCACTCGTGATTTTGGACGCTTTATTCAAGTTGATCGTCGTACTCTGTTGACCTCTGATCAAGTTATCGATCAATTTTTTCCGAATCAGTTGACAGGTCGGATTTATCTAGATATGTCTTCCGATTATAGATCAATCTGTGTGTCATGAATTTAAAAATTCTCTGATAGTCTCAGAATTCCCTTGACTCAGAATTTTAGCAGTTTCTCAGTTTAATTGACAACTTTTACAACTTATCCTGTAACTGACGTTGCATTTGTTTTCAGCCACTGTTTTGTCTTTTCATTTGTAAACAGGGGAGTGATTTATAAGCGACAGTGATTTAAAAGGGTTTTAAAATGCTTGTAGTGATTGCCCAGATACTTTCATATATGCTGAGACTATCCACTTCCTTGTTTTGAGGTTGATTTTTAACTACTTCTCTAGGCACATTAAGAGCTCGGCAATCACATTATCTATCCCAGATTAATTAACGACACCAAAAACAGTTAAGTAGTGATAACAATTCCTAAACTACACATAATAATTACATACCCTCCGTTCATTTGTATAAACGACATACCAACAAATTCGCGATAGCAATTAATCGAGTCTTAAGTGATCATGATACAGTATCTCTGTGTTAATATAGAATAAGTATTTGAATATTAAATGGAGTAATGTTTTGTAGATATTATACACAATTTACTAATGATAGCTATTAAATATAAAACGAATTTCTAGGTTTACTTATGTCTTACCGCCTCATTTAAATCAATGCTGATTTCGTTTTGGCTAACTGGTTGGACGTTCTCTGTTGTATCTTCGATCAATATGATGTCATCACAGTCCTAATTTATACAACATGAAGAACTCATATAATATTTTGATCAAATCTGTAAATCATTAACAGATTATCATTGATGAATGAATTATATTTTATCTATATAATTAACTCTGTAATTAGTGAAGTACATTAAAACTGTCTATTTAAATTGGAATCGGTTCTAATGCCAAAATATTACACTTAATAGATTTTTTCTGTAATTGTCTAATATATTCTGGTAAAATGAATTTAACTTTTACATTCCACTCTTGAAAAGGCTGATTATCTAATACATCTTTTTTATGGTGAGCTTGTTGTGTGAGCTACTTATATCCTCATAAGTAGTATATAATGATAGTCAGGAATAAAATGTATTTCAGTGGAAGATCGAGTAGGCAAAAATGGAAACGGAAAGCAATTAGTATGAAAATGCAAAAAAAAGTGAAATGTGAGATGATTAACTGGTATTTGTAAACGGAACAGTCAAGTTTGAGACAATCAATTGCTATTTTGCAAATTCTGTAAGTTTATCTTCGGATACATTCGATTGTACCCATTCCAGTTCTTGTTCACTATAAGCTATAATAAGTAATGACATGAAATACCAAAAAGGTCTAAATGTATATATATGAACTGATTACCATCACTGTTTTTACTCACAGCATCAGTCAATTAGTTTGCTAACGTCAATTATGCTAACCTTGTCAATTACTGTTTCTGCTTCTACATCCTCATCATACACATTCGGTAGAACTGTTTCTGTGCTTCTTTGCGGTAGCTTCATATATTCACATGTTATCCAGTCTTCTTCATATTCTATGCCAAAATACTTCAAACAAACAAGTGTTCAGTAGGATATATTTATTTAAATAAGAATTTACGAATAAGAGGAAGTAATCAAATATATCTTATACTCAGAAGGGTTCTGTGGAGATTGTAGTAATCTAATAACTGAATTCATGAGTTATTTGAAGTTAGACAACCATGAAAAACCTGGAAGAACTGGACGACCTTTTTTCCTATTGTGGGACTTCTCAGCAGTGTGCATCCACGATCCCGCCATGCGAGATTCGAAGACAGGACCTATCAGTCTTGCACGAGAGCGCCTAACCACAAGACCACCGACCCGGCATCCAACAGTGTTAATATCTAACTTCAACTAATCCACGAAATTGGGCGACGCATTCATCATTTTTATCAGTGAGTTAATATCTCACAGTCGACTCATGAATTCAATTATTAAATTATTAGTCTCCACAAAACCCCTCTGTTTATAATCATCATATGCTCACTAGTGACTGTCTCCAAGAGTTATTTCCTAGAGTTATAGTGAGAAGCCGTGACCAGTTGAGTTCAACCGGGTCAGTTGTGAGAAAGTACCTTACTGAAGACAATGTTGGATAGTGGTTTAATTCCGCGGATTGATTGAAGTTAGACATTAACACCACTGTTTCCCGGCTCAGTAGTCTAGAGTTTAAGAGTCCGCACGCGAGGCCGACAGGTTTTGAATTCGAATCCCGCGGGGCGAGATCGTGGATGCACACTTCTGAGGAGTCTCACGATAGGACGAAATGGTCGTTCAGTGGTTACAGGTTTTCTATGGTTATCTAGCTTCAACCTGCCCATGAATTCAAATATCTTATACTTTAAAGCATTACTTTATTCTCATGTATACATTGAGATTCATTTAAATGCACGTGGTTGTATAGCTGGTAATTAACAACTTAGAATAATATTATTCTTTCACATAACACTGCTTGAATGTAAAGCATATAATTAAACTTCAAAAGCCTGCGAGTCGTCATTAGTAGTTCTTGGTTTTATCACCTAGATTATACTTCACTTTTAACTGTAAATGAAACCAATCAACAAAACATTTCATCATGGTACATATTATAGAGAATCAATCTACGAAACGAAGTTATTTAATTCATGAATACATACTTTTTCTGAACGCTGTTTGTTAAAATGTTCTAGTTTCTCTTGTACTGAATCTAAATGTTTTTCATTTTCATCTAACATGATAAACCATGGATGACTCAACAAATGTGGTGTAATGATTCTTAATTTTGGATCTACCACTAAAAGACGTTTGACAACATCTTGAGCATCCAAACTAATTGATTTCCATGAAGGAGATTTAAACTCAATATCACAGTGAAGTATAGCACGATATAAATCACTACCAGATTTCGATTTATAAGGATCATCTCCACATAACCTTAAAAAAAAGCACACCAGAAACCGAAATTAAAGTTTTAAACTGCTCATAAGTAGTGAAAAAAAAATCATCTAATTAACAAAACATTTCGAATGTTGGAACGTATTTAGTGACTACACGTTTAGGCATCAGTCAGTCAGCTACAACGTAGGACTAGGTACATATATGCATCGATCCAGGTTGCCATACCTCATTAGCACGCGTAAACCTAGAATTATACAGAATTTTCTGATCTACTCACTTTGAAAAATGCAAAATCATTCAAATGACTCATTCTAACTAGTTATAGTGGTATCTACAGCCACAGTAGAGAAGGATGTTAAGGACAGATCTTTAATTTTCTCATGATTATATGTATATATTACAGATGAGTATTGATTTAGGTAGATTAATTATGACTTTTCCGAATATTCTATAATACATATGGATCAACGGTCAAAAAACTTAGAATTAAATTATCCGAAATTGATAACATTAACCCAGATACATCCGATTGGTAAGTATTGTGATCCCTGGACTCCACACTTGTCGAACAAATTTACTTTAGAAAGATAAGTAGGTGATGTCACTATTATTTCTTTTGAACCCAAGAGCGGATGAATGTAGGAAGAATGCTTAACTAAAATGAGTGACCTAGAGAAGTCTGTAGTATTTTCCTATTGATAAGTATGAATATTTATCAAAGTTCATACAGTCACTGGATTTATTCTTAGAATCAAACAATGTATATTTAAGAAACTACTTAACAATCGTTATATGTATTTAGTGAATAAGTATCTAGGTCCAAGAAAGATTTGTTTTCTTGTTGTAAAAGAAACTTAGGTACGAAGTTGGGGGAATTTGAATGAATTGTGCATCGCACTCAGAAAGGATTTAAAAATGTAGAACATCGCTCAAAATGCATCCAATAGGTCAGATTGCTGTATTACGCCTAACGTCTTAAACCAATGATCATTGATTAATCTAGAATTGGATTTGTTCTTTTACCGATTTTTTCTCAAGAATCTAACAAACTGTATTATCAGTCCGACCACTCCCATATTTCTTTCAACTTAGTCTAAAATAGACCCCAAATATTTCATACCGCACAGTTCCATCACAGGTAACCACTGTTTTCAAGACACCTATAATTAATTAGTGAATATCGTTGTCATGGTTTACGTCTTCGTAACTATATCTTAAGACAGAAAAGAAGAACAGAATGAACTGGTACGTCATATGCTCATCAGGTTAAATAAACTCGAAAGTTTCAAACATTTTTGTATCCACAACTTGATTCCATTCAGACTACCTGAAGAGGGCTGGTGCAGATTCAGAAATAACTCAACAATCAACACACTACAAAAATTTATCTCCCGTTACTAAATCATGAAACAGTGAAAAGTAGACGTAAAATTCTATTGTATAGGTGGACAGCTAGAAAAGCATTCCCAAGAAGTATTTCTCTTTATTTCACTGTTTGTCTGATTATCATGTCGTAAGTTAGTTTGATATTTTTCTAAAAGTTATTGGAAATCTAGGCTCATAATTTCTTACCGGATAAGTTCGACCTCTTAACATCTACTCACTATTCGATATTCAATGTCTGAGCATCTCCAAGACGTTGTTGTGTCTGTGTAGATTTACTCTTATAGTTCATACCAAATGTTTTGAACTGTTAGACAGGTATCATGGGCTGATTGATACATTTTTTGGTCTTTACTCAATTAAACTAACAGATAATTTTCTAAATTGTCCCATAATTCTTTTGTTTTATAAATCTATATTTTTTTCTTGAATTGTAACTTTTATACCCAGCTTTTCCTACTATCACAAATATTGATACTACCTAAAGTGCTCCGGCATCTCTCTGTGCTGATATGATGTGGAAAATTCAACCAAGTGTGCTAGCTTCTACGTTACATATGACTAACTGATTTGTTGAAATGAACAGATTCATAACAGTAGTGTTTCGTCCTCCTACTTAAAACCTCAGATGAAACATTCAATTGTCCTGTGGAATAGACACTAGGAAGGAATCTAGTGTAGATATTCGTCTAAGGTAAATTAACGTCCCATACGTATAAATGTGAAAACCCAACCGTTATAACATTAGACGAAGTAAAACCGAGAGTTATAACAGTAATCCATAGGAGAATGTTACTCATTTAAAATATTTATGTACAGAAAGTATAATGTAAATTAGCTAAGTGAATATCTTTTAATTTATGAAATACATACACTTTGAGAACTACTGATCTTGACTGTTATTGATTTTCACCAAATTTCATAAGAATAATAGTTAGTGAAACGAAAATTCCGATATGGATAATTATCATTGAATCTAAATGTAAAGCTGCAAAAACTGATTAATAAAGTTGAACAATAGTTCATATCATATATAAACTTGAAAGAACTGCCTACGAGTTAAATAATGTGGTTTTGTACCAGAAAGATTCGATGTAAGCAGTTGGTTGAGATTAGACAATAATACCGTTGGATGCCGGCTCAGTGGTTTGGAAGTTAAGCGTTCGGGTGAGACCAAAAACCCTGGGTCCGAATCCCGCGAGCGGGATCATTGATGCGCACTGCTGAGGAGTACCACAATAGGACGAAACGGTCTTCTAGTGCTTTCAGGTTTTCAATGGTGGTCTAACACCAATCGGTTCGTTATCCAAATCAATAGGGAGTAAATTTAGCATCTAAGCTTACATTTGCTAGTTGTGCCTCTTTTCAATTACTGACAGCATGATCCCCATTGTTACAACTACTTACAATGAATTCAGAAGTAATCCACTTGATTCTGGTCAGAATAAGGGATTTTTTTTCTGACTTCATCAATTGAAGGGGATAATATGCACCTGGTAATCCAATATCATCTTGACTGTGTAATTAATATTAAACAATTGTACATAGAATTTATTTATAAACATTACTCACATTATATACAATAATATACCTAGTGCCCATAGATCAATAGCTTTATCATAACATCTACTTAATAATAATTCAGGTGCACAAAATGTTGTCGTCAAGCATACCATTTCTAAATCTAAATCTGAAGTTGTAAATAATTGAGGAGAGTAATCAGCTAAAAGAAAAATACAGAAATAAATAGATTGATTAAAATAAGGGGATGAAAATGCATTGGACAATGAACAATCTAATTCTTATGAAGAGTTATTTTATTTGCCTATATTTTACTTAAAAAGCATTTGTTATAAATACATTTGTTGCTTTCGTTGTGATCATTAGCTAAGCTTTTAAATAATTCTGACTCTATGCATAAAAGTGAACTAATTAGCCTCAGCAACTATATGATATCATTGAACGGATATCCTAATAGTGCTGAAACTGACAAATGAACTATATTTTCTAAAAGCGATCAGTAATGGAAAATGAAAAGTATTTCTATTTTGTTATTGAATAAATCTATAAATATTAGGTATTCGAAGGTAACTCTGGCTGACCGACTAAATTTTCTATCAAAGGTGATGATTTAAAGCCTAAGTTGAAGCTCGAATAATATTAGTTTGTTGAGTCAAATTACCTGACATGAATGAGTAAACTAGAATATTCAACTTCTTGATTTTTATTCAGTACGGTTCTATGTTGATTACCTAGAGGCCGAATGTTTGAACTGTGCAGCAATCATGGCTTCCGTTCAACTTCAAACATCGCCTCTCTATATAAAGTCTAAATATTTCAATTACTTTACTGCTACAAGTGATAAATCTTACTCTTTTCGTTTATATGATTTCACTTGATGTGTCCGTTTGATTTTTCAAGAAACATTAGTAAATATTACAACCGTATTTTTGATCTACTGTTGTATGTTGTGAAAAACTGATTAATTGAGATGTGTTTGTTATTGGAATCAATGAAAAATCAGGTGGCAAATCAAGAAGCACTAGTCATCTGACGTCGGTCTGTAAATAATTATGCCCGAATTAAGTACTTACTCACAAACCACCTTGGTGAACATATTCCTAATGTTGAATGGTGTCTAGATGGAACTCTTGAAGCTCTGATGTTAATATGTGACTTTCGGAGTAAACCGAGTTGTTAGTGAAGTCGGACGTCAATAGATTGCATTTGATGGTGTAATCATTGTACTGTGAATTGATTGAAGCTGGACAATTTGAACCATTGAAGTTTGATCAAGTGGCTGAATAGTGCAATGATAAGGTGTTTGTACTTCTCAGATGTGGGAACTTGAAGTAAACGACCAACCAACGCTCTGTACCTGCTAACACTTGTGTCCTCAATTTGAACAAATTCAAATTAGGCGGATACACATATATGACGTCTGAATTCATTACTTAACTATACACAAGCTGCTCTGAATCAGATTTTATTGTGTAAATAATTATGTCAGTCATTACACATGGCTTGAAGCCGCTAGATTTACATGAATTTTTCAGTACATCTCGGTATCATGTGAGTGATTACTGCGAAAATGAAACTAAACTCAATTCCCACATATCTAGTCAGGAGCCTTAGGAATGTTTGCTGTGAACATGGAGCTTTTAAGTATATCTCAATGAGTTATCAATTCTAAAAGTTTGAAATAATAAATCATTACTTTTGGCTGTAATATAAACATCTGGATGTGTCATTCACTTTTATTCAAATAGATACGACAAGATGAAACTATTCCAGTACGATATCCCTAAACTGATTGTAGAACAGGGTGTGAAACACGGATGATATCCATAGAACTTGCTTCAATCGAAATAGCTGCACACGGTGAGTGGAAATACTAGAACATCGACTGAATGCCACTTCGCAGCCTACCGTAAAATGTGTGTAACATCAAACTAACTTTTTGTCCGCATTCATGTTAGTGCTTATTCATCGATAAACGGACACACATCTGGGCCTGGACTGCGTGCTTCAATAATAAGTTAAGTAAACAACGTTTTTATTAGAAAAAGTTTCGACATCTTGTTAAGACTTTCAAAAATTTACCAAGTCAAACAAACTTGCCGATTGGATTTGGAAAATAGCATGCACTGGTGATTACAGAAAGAATGACCGAAATATTAATGTCAATTTCTACATATATTCCATACTTACTGATTTTTACAATCGCATCACTGTCTCTGGTGTTGAGCAGTATGTTTTCAGGCTAAAATAATTGGAAAAATAAACAGTCTCGCTTGAGGACTAAATATTTCTTGCACAAACAATACAAAATCACAACTCTTACGTTACTTAGACACAAGATTCTTTAGGCTATCAAATCCAAAGCTCTAGACCCGATAGTGATTATCTCCAGTAGTAATTCCGATTTGGTTAATTTGAATATCATGATTGGCGTTTGATTGCACATTATACATTCCCATCAGTTGTAGAATCTTGAAATGCAACCAAACAGCTACAAGATACTATTTTAGTTTAACAGATAGTCACAGTATATTTATCTATGCTGTATTAAGGGTTCTTTAAACCTAAGAATTTATGAATGTGAATTATTTAAGATGTTGAGCTTTTGTGTGAAATCAGATATGAATGCTCGTTAGCGTAATAATTTTGACATTAAACAAAACCGTTCCGAATATTGAATTAGACAAAACAGGTTATGCAAGTAAATGATACTACATAATTTACGAATATTTTCTTGAAGTATCCTCTATGACACTTTCTTGTGGTCAGAAAGGGTTTTGTGGAGATTTTAGTAATTTCAATAGTTTAAACCATGAGTCAATTGAAGCTAGACTTTCTTATAGATTAATTTAGTCGATATATTGGTAGGTGAATCAGTGAAAATTCTCATTAAACTCGGAAATTGTTTGAAAGTTTGATTATAAAGATACTCGTTGGCTAATTCAGTCAGTAACAACGTAGAACTTCGTACGTACGTACATCATTTTGAGTTTCCATACAATATTAGCATAGAGATGCAATTGTCCATTCAAATTTCCTAGTGGTAGAGGTAGTAAAAGTATAAGCAGTAATCGGAAACATTAGGGTTTGAAGATGTTATTGAAGGAATATGATCCAGTGAAATAAATTTAGAAATAGAAAAACGAAAGGTACATGAAGAATTCAGAAGATTAGAATTTGGAAGAACACAAAGAGCGGATGCACTTGCTTACACCATTAAAAACGATTTTGAGCCATGTCGTTCAAAGTCTCTAACCATCGGTTACTATTGTCTTGAGGATCCTGACCAGGTAATCTACACCTACCGACATGGCTCAGTCCACTTGTCAGTGACTTCATGGATTTGTGATATGTTTTGGCCTGGCTGCCCCTAGCTTACTTCCATCCTACTCCAACACCATAGAACATGGCTCGTTGGGGCAGTCGGTAGTTGGGCATACGTAACACGTAACATGCATCCCAATGTTACTTTAAGAGTATACCAAGTCGACACGTAAATATTTGTAAATTCATAGAATATTTTATGAAATATTCGTATACTTCATACATCTAAAATTTTCAATAGATTTGGCAATTCTTACCAGTGAAATTCGGAGATGGTACCAGTTATCGGTTAGTTTGATTTGAAAATATTTAGCGAAAGTCGATTATCTTTTCGATGTTGGATATCGACATATAAAACTGTTTACCAAAAAGGCAGTGGTTTGTTAAACATTTTTATCTGTTTTCTCAACAACTTTATCTTGTGAGACCAATCGGCATTAACTACTCAACCATTTATCCAATGTAATTTAAACTAGCTACAAATTTACACAGAGTTGTATGTCAGATAAACAATAATTTGTCGTAGCTAAATGTAAAGCATTAACTTTTATTTTTAGGGCTACTAATTGATACCCGAAATACTGTGGAAGAAAACCAACTTATCTTTCGATCTGAAAGTTATCAATTCAACCTGTTCTTATTATAAAACCAATCCACTTGGAACTATCTACTGGAGATGGTAAGAATGTTGTTCTACAGCGTCAGTCGCCGCCAATGGTCTTTAACCTGTTTTGTACCTTCAGCAGACCTCAAAAAAGCAACTGGACTGAAGCTTAAGAAACCGTGAGATAGATGTTGTCTATTTACTCCGTACTAGCATCTCAATCAGATCAATTCAAAAATAATGCACATCCTATCGGTAAATGAAGCAATAATCGGTATTCAATTATATATTTGATTCATAATCTAACAGAGTTGAAGAAACTTCTTGTGTCAGATCTCCAAGTAATGATAACACAGTTAAGGTTTGACTAGTACGAACATGTTTAGTACATATGAAATTGAAAAATACCTCGATTTCGTTCATTCGATGAATTTTCGTGGTTTCACACTTAATGACAGTAAATATTTTGTCCTTAGTTTCAAGTTAAAAATAATCCCCGATTAAGATGAGTCATCAGTGCTCTTATTCGTTAGAATCCCCGCTTGATGGATTTACAAAATATGCTAGTATGGTCGATTGGACTATGAAACAGTGATGCTAATTTCAAGGATAGGTGACCAGTCTAAATGTCTGTAATATAGAAAGAGTTCAAGGGATTTATCGTACTCATTATCTACTTGCATTGGCTATTTCCACCCATTTACTAAAACACGAACTCGTCTGGTCAAATCGTGCACAAATCAAATCTAGTACTTTCAAGTCTTCCGTTGATCATCAATTCATTTTGTGTCGCTCTGAATGTATGGCGGCAAAACTCTAAGTAGCCTAGAAAAGAATCATACATACTTTTAAATTTTTGTGAATAATTCCATATTCATGTAAGTATCTGATACCATCAACCACTTGTCTGAAATAATAACCAACCGTTTTTTCGTTGTAGATAGGCATTTTAGTTAATCTAAATAGAAGGAATAAAAAGAGAGTTGACAATTGGTTAAAACCAACCAAGATTCTCAAGGGTGAAATAACATGAGTTTGAATACTGAAGTTTTTGAGTGAACAAGATGCGTTATAAACATTGATGAGATTTTAATCTCTTCAATATTAATAGAGTTGACCCGCAATTTATTCTATTCGGGACTAGTCAGTCACGTGTAACTATATCTACGTGTTATTATTCGCATTGGGATTCAAAAGCATTACCTACCACTTGAATAGTCAATGCGGCATACACAAACATACTGAGTCCAGACAGCCACTTGTTTAGCAGACATGGAGTTACTTACAAGATTTTGCGTTTTGTTGATGTTTATAATGAGGACTGTAATTGACCAACCTTTGTTGGTTTACATGCATCCTGAGTGAATAGCGAATCTGGTTGTTGACTGATTCACTAGGATACAGGTACAATTGAATGATAAATCTCAAGTAGGATTGGATGTACGTCCTTACTTACACTCCTGACCATGGTCCAAACATACCAAATACTTATAATCGAGAGATATTCTCAAGACGATCCATTCGGAATCCACATGTGCCAATAGAGACAGGTCAGATGTAGTTCTTAATACAGACAATGAAAAACTACAAACCCGTATGTAGAGTTTGTAACTGTTTTTATTAGGCTTGATCGTAAACGAGCTGTTTTCGACAGTAGTGACAAACTATTCTGAAAATTTTGGGTTGTTAATTATTTTACGTCTTTCATATCATACACATTGCTGCCTATATTTAATAAACTTACTGGTATACTATTTGTTTTGAAGTTTGCCATAGATTAACTCTTTCACTATCATCCACCTACTTTTTCTCAGTCGTTCTTAGTTCTAAGCTGTCTTCAGCCGATGAAAAAATAAAAAAGTAGTGCCGACTTATCGATTTCATTGTCTTTTCCTGTAAAACACAAATTACTGTTACCATGCAACTGAATAACATCATCTGGATGTTACTAGACAACACGATTGACATGGTTGTGAGCTCTCGAGCGTATTGAGCGACGTCATACGCCAAAGTATTCAGAATTTCTGCAAAGAGTACCTGAAAATGTTTTAACCGCAACGTTTTTGCAATTTCGGTAGTCAGCTGCTGGTCTTCCCTCAGGCATATACACAAATTATGAGGACTAAGGATAAAGAACTTAAATGAAAAATTGTTCCACCTTTTTTGTGATCTAATAGATATATTGTATACTTCAAAATCACACGTTTAAATTACACTTTTTGTCAAAATTTAACTAATTGCATCTTAAATATATCTAAAAAATCTACAGTAACTTTCTCTTAAAACAAAGTATCGAAATGAAAATAATGAATATCAATAGAGCCCTACGATGAGACGAATAGTGTTGCACACAGTTACTAACCAGGTTGAATTAATTTGAAAATTGGACAGTCGACCTCTTTAGCCTGTCCCACTATGGACAATGTGGTTATCTGGTTTAGATGTACAGAACGCTAGTAAATGATTTCGAACCTAACATACTTCTTAGTTTTTTTTCTTTTAAACCAGAATAATTGATGGGATATTGCAGGAGCGTCTAAAACCAAGGACCAGTAAAATACCAGTTTCATAAGGGTTTTTAGACCAAGTCGTCAACTCTTGAAATGTTCCACCCAAAGAAGCAGTGCTCTCACCTTCAATTGATATGCTTAAGAAAGGGCTAAATAACCACGGAAGTTCATTAGAAAACGACTGAAACCGACTGTCGGTCTTCCGATCCAATACATATATCTAATATGGAAACTTAATCTGCAACCCTTTTGGCGGACAGGTATTACAAATGATTACTATGGACCAGGTTAGCTCTGTAGCATAACGACTCAAAATCCACAAATATATAAATCACTATGGTGAAAAGTGTTTTGTGACAGGTTGATATCATTAGCTACAATATCTACCAAAAATACTGTTTTATCCAGGCTAAGGAAGCCATGCAACATATTCTGCTAATTCAGTCACAAGTTTAAAGCAATATAAATATAATTGCGCCAATGCTGATGTTTCTTTTTCTGACGATAGTTTGGAGTTTTAATGATCATATTCTGAAACTCGTTATATAAAGTATATGAGATAAATGATAACGGGCAGATATTTGTAATAAATTCATTTGTAATCCAATTAGGAGCTCCACAAAAGAGAAATATCGAGATTTAACAGAGCTCCTTGAAAAATAAAATACCTCCGGAAGAGTTCTTCACCATTTGCAAATTCAACGACTATATGCAATGAGAAAGATGTTTCAAATAATTCTTTCAACTTCGCCTAAAACCTTACTTAAAATTCATTAATGACACCTACCACATTTTGATGATCAAGCGTCAACAAATGGCCTATATTTTTTTTCTCAGGAGAAGTCAACTGTTTAATGTTAAGACAATCGAGTTTTGTAACCTTCTTTTGTATCACTTTAACAGCATAAAACATTTTTGTCCTGCGTTCCATGCATAACGCAACAAAAGTACCATTAAATCTGTAGAAAGTTTCATTATTTTAAAAAGAATGAAGAAAAGCAAATTATCTAAGACTAAACAGCATACTGTGGCTGAATAGGTTTTCTATAAATGTTTAAAAGTTAATTTAGATTAGCTTGTACCTTCCCAAACCTTCGACCAACCAATAATAGTCTTCGAACTTTGTCATTGCATAGTCTTCAGAAGTCATTGAACAGCCCAGCTTTAATTAGGCAGCAGTAACGTATCTAGGATACCAGTTTCGAATTTAAGGTTATGAAAACCAAAAGCTGTAATTGTTTGTAAGACCTTGATAAAAACTTATCTTTACTGGTTTCCGTGATATTGTGTTAGTAAATACACCGTTTTTCTTAATATATTGTTTAAATTCATCGACTCTGCAATTCATATTTTTAGGTTGCTTAGATAACTTTTGTTTTGACTGCTGCGTGCTAAATACATCGTGCTTTTTGTGCCTTAGTCTTCTGCTAAATCTAGACTAGGCCTTGATTGTATATTGACTTCGGACCACCGTACACTTCGAAAGATTATTCATCTCTCATTATATTACTCATCATGTCGTGTAGACAGTCTCCTACCAGAACACCATAATTTTTGAATGCATAGAGAGAAGTGCTACCGGTCGGTAGCTTGGATGTTTTTACGTCAAACTCTTTTGAAAATCGGTGTGATTTGAGCCTGCTTCCAATTGTCTAATAATGTGCCTTGGCTTAGCGAATTTGAGAACATCACTCCAAACAGTTTTGCTAAGATTGAATCTACTTCCCTCAGTACAACAGAATGGACGATTACCCGGCCAGGAGTAGTATCTTTTCAAGTGCTGAATTTTGCGGTACACCAAGTCAAAGCTCATTTTCACTTCTGAAAGTCCTGTGGAGTTGCAGGTGAAGCTTTCATCAATATAGTTGTATGGGTCAGGCGAAGTGTCCGAGTGTATTGTTTTGCCAGAAGATAGACTACATCACGTTCGTTGTTGGTAGTAATTGAGAAACTCCGGTTCTGGTTCGTCGAAGCGAGGCTGCATGACGAAATAAACTTTTCGGATTGAAGATAAATTTATCGATAAGATTTATCTGGTAATGAAGCCTACAGTTTTGCATATGTTCCTTACATATTTTAACTGCCTGTATGCGCTGTTGCTACCAGTTCATCTGCGTTCCGCCCTGTAGTGCCTTTCGCGGCTTAGCAAACGAAGAGCGCGATGGTTGATAACTGTATGTTACTTGTAGATTTCGGGGACGGTTTGAAGAACAGACTACTTTGTGGCAAATAAGATCCCACTGGGCATTCACACCAAGCTGATGGTGAGCTTACCAGTCCACCTGTTGCAGTGCCGTTTTTAGGTAAGATATCCTAGCTCAGTTTTGCTGATATAACTGAAGGATATTTTGATGTGATCACTTTTCACCAGAAGAGCTAGGATTTAGAGGTTGGGAATTGGGAATTTTCCGTTTGTAAACATGTTGTCTAAGAGCTATGGCGTCTGAGTGCTTCTCCAACAGGTTGCTAACTTGACATCTTAGAGTTATCCTAATTGTTCAGTGGGGTTGAAGCACCGAGATTCAGTAGAGTTTTGACCTCCAATGTACGTATATTCCGCGAAACTGACTTTATGGAGATTGAAGTCTCTTAGAATCAGGATATGCGTGCACCAGAGACGAGTAGGGCTGGAAAATCCGTCCGGTATACCATTGCCGTGCCAAATGTCAGCAGTGGGCTTCCTCTGGATGATTACAATTAGACACCTCGGGGTGGTAGACAATCTTATAGATCACCATACGGATCCATCAAGACGCTTGTTTGTGTACTTGATGTACCTCCAAGTAAAATCATAGGTACAAGGCCACTCGGCCCCCCATTCCAGTTTTCCTGTCGTTGCGAAACAAAGTCATCCCGAGTATTACCAGCTCTTGAGAAGATACACTTGTTTCAGGTATTCCTATCAGATGAGTATTATTATGATTACTGAGTTCAAGCGGTCATCCATTTTACTGGGTAAACTCGCTGTGTTCATACATAAGTAAATTATGTTTTTAGTTTTGAAACGCGTGAGCTTCATCGCCTTTTTTACTTGTATGGGCCATGTGTAAATAAACAGGTATCTTATGGCTTTAAAAATAGCGTGTACCTGCCTTTGCAGAAATATATTAATATATTTTCTCTGGATTAGAGCAATATGTTTATTATGAAAGGAAAACATAAGTTACATAAGAATGGCCACTCCTGAAAGGCTGGGCCATTTCATCCTATTGAATGAACCCATTGTTCCCACCTTCTCCATTGTTGCCCTCTCCGTGTTAATTGTCGAATTCGAATTTTCACATTGAGTTCATGTTTGGCTTTGAAGATTGTGTGGTTAGGATCAATGTAACTACAAATTGTTTAAAATTCTAATGTTCGTCACAACATTCCGCATCCACTTTTACCTATCTTAACTCACCATTTCATTATGTCGTTTATTTTTGCTATTAGAACTCAAACTACTGGCTCCAGTTACTTAATAAGGGTTGGGGTTCAAGGGGACATTTACAGTTTATGCTAGTGCTCCATTATTGTAGAAAGGTCAAAATATTTGTGGAGTTATAAAAACTTCAGGCCTAATGACTTCCATTTTAAAAACATCGTTTTGGAGACAACTGAATAACAGTGATTCCTAACCATATAAACCTTCATGTCAAATGTGCGCTGTCTAGGTAGGGATGAATATAGGAATAAAGAAATTCAGTCACCCATGAAGGATGGGTATCTTTTGAAGATCCAAAGCTTAAGAACCAGTAACGACGCTAAACCTTTTATTGATTCGAGCAAAACTATAAGCTCATATATTACATACAAGAGCATAAAAGTCACTCCAGACCTAATTCTCTGTCAACGTCGTATGGCGATACGTGAAGCGATAGAATTGCATGATAGTGTTACAGCGAATAACCAACTGCAAACAGTCTGCAACACAGTAAATGGTTTAGAGCTCATGATGTCACTTCATATACGGCAGGTCAGTTTGTAGATCCAGGTAAATCCTCAGATCGGAAACCGTTGAATAAGATACGGATTCCAACTGCCACTAAAAAAAGTAAAGCATTTCCGATCCCGGATGTTCGCGTAGTAAAGCACTTAAATTTGAGCCTTTCGACGACACACACTCACTAAACCTCTTAACCTGAAAACTTTTTCTCCCAAAGGTAGTACACAAGATGACTCTAATGAACCTGAATTCATTTCACAGAGATCAAGAAACTCTCTAGCCCTGAAGAAGGGGTGGGGAAACAACATCACGATACCAACTATGGAAGTACCTAAGATTCAACCATATCGTTCTGTGGGTATTGCAACTACAGTGAACAGGTTCTCCTCATTGATACCATATAAACTGCCGTCAACACTTCTAAGTAGCGAAACTGATGGTAGACTAGAGCGCAACAACGCTTTTTACGCATAGACTAACAAAACTATCAGAGTACTGATCACTCCACTCACTCCTCAAACTCTAAAATCACTAAAAGGTATGGTAAAAATAGGTTTCGCAGAACATACCTGGTCTTCATTGCCCAGGATCCCAAATGGAACGAAAACTTTCCACGTCCTTCAGTACCAACCCACCACATAAAAATGGCTCCCTGTATAATAACAGTCAGTCTCACACTCAGGTCAATCAGCAATCAACAAGCACATTGAAATTGATCAAATTTATCAACAAACCAGGAAGTTTATGCACAAACATTGGAACGAAAATCAAACCAATGGAAGACAACCGAGACAAAGAAGTAAACAACTACAAATTTAAGGTCAACAAGAACCAATCATTATCGAGGTGTACAGGACAAGTTTCGAAACACATATGGAGAATTTCGAGTGCTTCACTTCTATCTTAAGTTTGTATTGTCGTTCAGAAGAACAATGAAAGCTCTACGACCAAACCATCCAGGTCAGAGAAAAAACTCCATCAACGGTCATAACTACTTTCACTTATGTGCATCAAATCCACCTCATGTTCACACCGACGCAAGTTTACTTATTTATTACTCTTTTTGAATACATAAATATTGTCATAAACGGACATCAAACAGATAAGCGCCACAGAAATAACTTCGTTTGTGTCTGGGCTGGGATACTGTGCGGGTCCTTGAGCCGGACCAGATGGTTTTTTGAGGGCTACACACTTCGAGCCTTTGACTTAAAAGTCTAATCCACAAGGCAGTGGTGCAGCATGAGGAGATACGGTCCCATGGTATCAGGTGACCAACAATAAGTTCATGGGCCATTTTTTCTCTCAAGGTCCTGGAGTCTATGTGCACCGTTGGTTTGGAATCAGGGTTTTCCAAATCTATAGGTGGATCTTCCGGATCCACCGGTCGGATATTTGCTTTTCGTCCACTCAATTTCGTAAACAACGCCCCCGCCGTAAGAAGGACGTACAAGTGCATTTGGGGGCCAAGTGCATTGTACTCCATTCCACAATTTTTATGACTTTTCCTCCTTAGTTACACTGAAAAACTTTGTTCATGCAAAGGCAATATGTACATAAAAAATTCAAGCAGGAACTCGATAATGACTCCTCTGCACTTATCAAACTCCTTAAAAATAAACTCAAAAGTATTACATCAGAAGGAGGAAACGTATTTATTAGGGACAAACAGGTATACGAAGATACTTAACTTATTACGTAGTTATTTAGTGAACACTTTGTCCCTTATTAACCAACGAAAATAAACTAGATGAATCAGAGCCGATCCCAGTACCTTACTGTGAATTACTAGTGTAAACTTCAATGCACAGAATATTTCTAAGGCAGTTGGCACACTGAAACACTCCTTCATGGATCGACCAGGTGGTATTCCGGCTAGCATGCTTAGGAGTGTAACTGATTGTATGTGTGTCCTACTTCCCAAATAATTTGCGTTGTCACACTTTACAGAGTGTTACATCATAGCCTAGGAGACTACACATATCATTCCCATAATTAAGAAACTTCCTGCCCGACTATAACCCACGACCCAGCTTATAAACTTAGAAACAACGCATATACGCTGCTTACCGTGAAACACCAAAAACAAATGCGTTGTAAGTTTTTTACAGCACGGTATAGTTTATTGTGGAACAGGCTGCCAATACCTATCCGTAACTGTGATATGTTTGCCAGATTCAAAAAGCTAATAACCCTGTTTCTAGACTATAAAGAGCTTCAACCTTTCTTTGAACTCTCGCTCACCAATCGGGCACTTTATTACAGACCGCCTAGTATCTAAACAGAACAAGAATATAACGAGCCCGACTGTTATTA